AAATGTGGCGGCAGCGTGATGAGAGGAGGCAGGATTCAATGCTGAGGCTGCTGCAGGACCAAACCAGTATGCTCCAGTGTATGGTTGAGCTGCAGCAAAAGCAGCTGGAGCACAGACTGCCACTGCTGCCCCTCTGTAACCAACCGCCCTCCTCCCCAAGTTCCATAGCCTCCACACCCAGACGCCCAAGAACGCGGTGGGGGGGCCTCCGGCCAACCAGCCACTCCACCACAGAGGATTGCCCCAAAAAAAGAAGGCTGTCATTCAATAAATTTTAAAGTTGTAAACTTTTAAAGTGCTGTGCTTAAAGTGCTGTGTGGCATTTTCCTTCCCTCCTCCACCACCCCTCCTGGGCTACCTTGGTAGTCATCCCCCTATTTGTGTGATGAATGAATAAAGAATGCATGAATGTGAAGCAACAATGACTTTATTGCCTCTGCAAGTGGTGATTGAAGGGAGGAGGGGCGGATGGTTAGCTTACAGGGAAGTAGAGTGAACCAAGGGGCGGGGGGTTTCATCAAGGAGAAACAAATGGAACTTTCACACCGTAGCCTGGCCAGTCATGAAACTGGTTTTCAAAGCTTCTCTGATGCATACCGCGCCCTCCTGTGCTCTTCTAACCGCCCTGGTGTCTGGCTGCGCGTAACCAGCAGCCAGGCGATTTGCCTCAACCTCCCACCCCGCCATAAACGTCTCCCCCTTACTCTCACAGATATTGTGGAGCACACAGCAAGCAGTAATAACAGTGGGAATATTGGTTTCGCTGAGGTCTAAGCGAGTCAGTAAACTGCGCCAGCGCGCCTTTAAACATCCAAATGCACATTCTACCACCATTCTGCACTTGCTCAGCCTGTAGTTGAACAGCTCCTGGCTACTGTCCAGGCTGCCTGTGTACGGCTTCATGAGCCATGGCATTAAGGGGTAGGCTGGGTCCCCAAGGATACATATAGGCATTTCAACATCCCCAACAGTTATTTTCTGGTCTGGGAATAAAGTCCCTTCCTGCAGCTTTTGAAACAGACCAGCGTTCCTGAAGATGCGAGCATCATGCACCTTTCCCGGCCATCCCACGTTGATGTTGGTGAAACGTCCCTTGTGATCCACCAGAGCTTGCAGCACTATCGAAAAGTACCCCTTGCGGTTTATGTACTCGGCGGCTTGGTGCTCCGGTGCCAAGATAGGGATATGGGTTCCGTCTATAGCCCCACCACAGTTAGGGAATCCCATTGCAGCAAAGCCATCCACTTTGACCTGCACATTTCCCAGGGTCACTACCCTTGATATCAGCAGATCTTTGATTGCGTGGGCTACTTGCATCACAGCAGCCCCCACAGTAGATTTGCCCACTCCAAATTGATTCCCAACTGACCGGTAGCTGTCTGGCGTTGCAAGCTTCCACAGGGCTATCGCCACTCGCTTCTCAACTGTGAGGGCTGCTCTCATCTTGGTATTCATGCACTTCAGGGCAGGGGAACTTCTCAAAGTTCCATGAAAGTGCCCTTACGCATGCGAAAGTTTCGCAGCCACTGGGAATCGTCCCAGACCTGCAACACTATGCGGTCCCACCAGTCTGTGCTTGTTTCCCGAGCCCAGAATCGGCGTTCCACAGCATGAACCTGCCCCATTAGCACCATGATGCATGCATTGGCAGCGCCCATGCTTTCAGAGAAATCTGTGTCCATGTCCTAATCACTCACGTGACCGCACTGACGTCGCCGCCTCGCCCGGTATCGCTTTGCCAGGTTCTGGTGCTGCATATACTGCTGGATAATGCGTGTGGTGTTTAATGTGCTCCTAATTGCCAAAGTGAGCTGAGCGGCCTCCATGCTTGCCTTGGTATGGCGTCCGCACAGAAAAAAGGCGCGGAACGATTGTCTGCCGTTGCTCTGACGGAGGGAGGGGCGACTGACGACACGGCTTACAGGGTTGGCTTCAGGGAGCTAAAATCAACAAAGGGGGTGCCTGTACATCAAGGAGTATTTCAGGCAGGACTTCACGGAGGGTTCCAATAAGAAATGGTGCATCTAAGTTATCTTTCTTATTGGAACAAGGAGGTTAGCCTGGCCTCTGATTGATACATGGCTAGATTTACCTCGCTGCACCTTCTCTGTGAGTGACTGCAGTGTGACCTAGAGGAATGAGTCCCCTAGACAGGGGAGGAGGCAAATGAGTACAAAACAAATCTGGTCTATTTCTTGTTTTGACCCACTCCATCTATCTTTTACATCTTTGGCTGGCAGCAGACGGTGCAGAAGGACTGCATGCCATCCACATCTCATGGCTGCTCGGCAGAAGATGGTACAGTACGACTGCTAGCCATCCCCATCTCTTGCCTGCCTGGCAGAAGATGGTACAATACGACTGCTAGCAGTCCTCATCTCTTGCCTGCCTGGCAGAAGATGGTACAGTACGACTGCTAGCAGTCCGTATCGCCTGCCCGCTCACCATAAGACGGTTCAATAGGACTGACTGCAGGACTAAAGAGAATGACCTGGTCAAGTCACTCCAAATTTAGTCCCTGCGCCCATGTCTGCCCAGGCGCTCCCAGCCGACGTGGCCAGGAGCACCTCGGACACAACGAGGACGACTACCAATCGTTTTGCACCGTCTGCTGCCAGAAGGCAATGGGTTGCTGCTACTGTGCAGCAAAGCCGTACCGCGTCTGCCAGAACCCAGGAGACATACGGTGACGGTTACCTGAGCGGGCTCCATGCTTGCCGTGGTATGGCGTCTGCACAGGTAACTCAGGAAAAAAGGCGCGAAATGATTGTCTGCCCTTGCTTTCACGGAGGGAGGGAGGGAACGGTCTCCCACAGTATTCTTGTCAGCAAGTTAAGGAAGTATGGGCTGGATGACTGCACTACAAGGTGGGTAGATAGCTGGCTAGATTGTCGGGCTCAACGGGTAGTGATCAATGGCTCCATGTCTAGTTGGCAGCCGGTATCAAGTGGTGTGCCCCAAGGGTCGGTCCTGGGGCCGGTTTTGTTCAATATCTTCATAAATGATCTGGAGGATGGTGTGGATTGCACTCTCAGCAAATTTGCGGATGATACTAAACTGGGAGGAGTGGTAGATACGCTGGAGGGGAGGGATAGGATACAGAGGGACCTAGACAAATTGGAGGATTGGGCCAAAAGAAATCTGATGAGGTTCAATAAGGATAAGTGCAGGGTCCTGCACTTAGGACGGAAGAACCCAATGCACAGCTACAGACTAGGGACCGAATGGCTAGGCAGCAGTTCTGCGGAAAAGGACCTAGGGGTGACAGTGGACGAGAAGCTGGATATGAGTCAGCAGTGTGCCCTTGTTGCCAAGAAGGCCAATGGCATTTTGGGATGTATAAGTAGGGGCATAGCGAGCAGATCGAGGGACGTGATCGTTCCCCTCTATTCGACATTGGTGAGGCCTCATCTGGAGTACTGTGTCCAGTTTTGGGCCCCACACTTCAAGAAGGATGTGGATAAATTGGAGAGAGTCCAGCGAAGGGCAACAAAAATGATTAGGGGTCTGGAACATATGAGTTATGAGGAGAGGCTGAGGGAGCTGGGATTGTTTAGCCTGCAGAAGAGAAGAATGAGGGGGGATTTGATAGCTGTTTTCAACTACCTGAAAGGGGGTTCCAAAGAGGATGGCTCTAGACTGTTCTCAATGGTATCAGATGACAGAACGAGGAGTAATGGTCTCAAGTTACAGTGGGGGAGGTTTAGATTGGATATTAGGAAAAACTTTTTCACTATGAGGGTGGTGAAACACTGGAATGCGTTACCTAGGGAGGTGGTAGAATCTCCTTCCTTAGAGGTTTTTAAGGTCAGGCTTGACAAAGCCCTGGCTGGGATGATTTAACTGGGAATTGGTCCTGCTTTGAGCAGGGGGTTGGACTAGATGACCTTCTGGGGTCCCTTCCAACCCTTATATTCTATGATTCTATGATTCTATGGAACGGGGGCCTGATGATACGTACCCAGAACCACCCGCGACAATGTTTTAGCCCCATCAGGCATTGGGATCTCAACCCAGAATTCCAATGGGCAGCGGAAACTGCGGGAACTGTGGGATAGCTACCCACAGTGCAACGCTCCGGAAGTCGACTCTAGCCTCGGTACTGTGGAAGCACTCCGCCGAGTTAATGCATTTAATGCACTTAGAGCATTTTCTGTGGGGACACACACACTCGAATATATAAAACCGATTTCTTAAAAACCGACTTCTATAATTTCGACCTTATTCCGTAGTGTAGACATACCCTCAGAGATAACAAAAGAGTGACCAACCCCCAGCCAGGGGAGTAAAGGCCGCCGACCGCAATTCCGGGCCCAGCGGCTAATCTGGCACTGCGGATTGCAGCCCAGGGCATGACCCAGGGGTGCGCTGCTGTTTCCAGCAGGGCAGGGTGTATTTCCCACCGGTGGCTCCCGAGGCCCGGGCTCGAACACGCGGGGCTGTGCAGGGACTAGGGACTGAGGGCTCAGGCTGATGGCTGGGTCTTTCGCGCGTTCACCAGCGCAGCTGCGCTGAGGGACAGGGACCGCTGGCGCCCGAGCACACAAACCTCAGCCCGGGGCTCCAGGCTTTTCATCCCGCGCCTCTCAAGCCCGGAGGGGCGTGGCTATGGGAGGAGGGAGAGACACACAGGGTGGGAGGAGCCTGACTGGGCCGGGCACACACCCCGGCGCGCGTCCCCGCCACTCGAGCGCACGCGCAGCAGAGCCCCGGCGGGTGCGCGCACAGGGACGCTGCAAGACTTGGGAAAAGGGGCGGCGGCCGCAGAGGTGAGCGGGCGGCGAGTGCGCGCCTGGGGAGGGGGCGAGGGGCTCCTGGTCCTTCACTGCCGGGGGCTGCGGCCCGCCCCCCTAGGCCGAGAGCAGCGGGCGCTTGGCGGCCCGTCGCGTCCGGGCTTGTTTACGGGAAGCCTAGGCAACGGGCGGGGCAAGGCGCGCCCTCGTGCGCGCGGCGCTGCCCCTTCAGGACGCCCCGGGGGCCCAATTGCGGGGTTCCCTGTTCCCGGGCTGCGGGCATCGCCGGGAGAGACACTCCGCTGCCGAGCCCAGCGGCTGCCGGCGGGCCCGGGCTTAGCCAGGACAGTCCTCACCCCCCTTTCCCTGCCCCAAAACTCGGGAGTGGAACAAAAAACGGGTTCTTGTTGTTTTCCCTCTGGTTTCTGAGCCGGTAGGGTGCTCTTGCTTCAGGTGTCCAAGCGTTTCTCTGCAGCCACAGGGGTTAGAAACGTATAAAACAAGACACAAAATGGAGCTGCTCATGTAATTGCTTGGCTGCAGGAGCTTTAAGAAAAACACCAAACCCTGAGATTTATGATGAAACCACACTAGCTGGCAGTCCTGTGAACAGTATGGATCACTGGCTAGGGCTGTCCCATGAAGTCCACAGCCAGAGAGCTTCAATATCCCTTTTGCACTTCTAACAACCTGTTCCAAAGAGATCAAAACTAACGGTGAGAGGATCTCAGTCCCTAACCCTATTTATCCTGTTACCTTTCGTTTGAGACTACTAACAAGACCGACAAAGTGGGCAAGGTAATATCTTTTATTGGACCTGCTTCTGTTGGTGAGGGAGACAAGCTTTGGAGCCACACCAGAGCTTTTCTTCAGGTCTGGGAAAGGTACCCTGAGCATCAAATGCAAGGTGGATCAGATTATTTAGCATAAGTAGTTAGCACATATTCTAAGGGACCACTAATGGACCACTCTTCCTTGAATGGTCCCTTAGAATATGTGCTAACTACTTATGCTAAACAATCTGTTCTACCTTGTGGTGGTATTTCTGTGATGTGGACACTTGTCCACAAGGAAGTGGAGATGGTTAACTTGTGAGCTTTCTACTTCCCAAGATTTTTTTCCTACTGTAAAAGTTTATCTTTTATGTCTTTTCTGTGTGGTGGTTAAATCGTTGTAAACACATAGTATTTTTATATTGAATCAAAATATTTAATACTATTTTAAAAATCTGATTACATTAATTTGTGAATCCTAATAATGAATATGCACTAGTTTTTCCCTGTTATGATTATGAAAATCTCGTTACATTTTAAATGAAATGTTTGAGGTTCTGTGAAGATAGATGCATTTTCACTTTAAATAACAAATAGGCCCATCACCTCTGCTGGGGAGCAGAGCATGCTTGAAACTAACATCTGTTGAGTAACTGAATATAGGGACAACTTTTACTCCTGCATAATTTAGAACATACACCATGGGGCGTCGGGTTTCTGGGAATCTTGAAGTTGGGAGGTAGCCTGCCTGTAGGTGCAGAACTGTCCAGGATAGGGGAGGAAACTTCGCAGAGGGGATGGTGTGTGGCATGAAGGGAGGGTTTGGAGCTATTGGGGTTACCGTAGCTGGGACCCAGAAGGATTCATAGGGTATGGCAAAAGTTCTGGTCTGGCTAAAAATATGTAGGATGTAAGTCAGGAATGGGGAGAGTTGACACATCTAGTACAAATTGCAAATGCTAGAGTTAAGAGGGGACTAGGGGAAGCCTGAAGTGAAAAGAAAATCAGTGTTTCCAGGGAGTGAAGTTTGAAGCTAAGACAGAAGCTTAGAACTGCTTCCAGCAAAAGATAACCCTGGCAAGGGAAGACTGAAGTCAGGAGTTACTGTGGAGATGGGCATCCAGTGCAACATTGCCATAGATCATTGATAGGGCCCTACCAAATTCATGGTCCATTTTGATCAATTTCATGACCAGAGGGTTTTTAAATTGGTCAATTTAACCTTTTCCAGTGTTTACATCTGAGATTTCATGGTGTTGTGACCGTGGGGATCCCAACCCAAAAGGTACTTGGAGGTGAGTCTGATCCACATACCCCCCGTCTCCCCAGGAGCTGTGCTGGTGAAGAGGAAGTTCTGAGTGCTGTCCCTTCCCAGCCCTGTGGAATTGGCAGCTAGAAGCCCCTGACTGGGCACTCCCAGCAGCAAGGGGGAGATCGGACCCACCTCCACAAGCTCAAACCACCGAGCTATCCCTCCCCACAGGGCTGGGAAGGGACAGCACTCAGAACTTCCTCTTCACCAGCACAGCTCCTGGGGAGACGGAGGTGTGTGTGGCTCAGACTCACCTCCAGGTATCTTTTGGGTTGGGATCCCCACAGTCACAAATCATTGAATAAAAACTCCCAAATTGGGAGTTTTAGGTACGTACTCTGTAATTTAATTATTTTCTATATAATTACTATTATAAATAAAAATATATGGTTTTCATATAGTCTTTTTTATTTACAGTTTATTGTGAAGTCCATTGTCAAATTTGCATGGATTTGGAGGTTAAAGGAGTTGCTGCATCTCCTAGAGGGCAAGCTGAGCTGTCATCAAGGGGGAAGAAACTTAGTCAGGTATGTTTAATGGAAAGATTAATGTTTCTATTTTGATTTACAAATGTGTTTTTTATTTCACAGACCATTTAGCGCCATCTTATGTTCAGGATTTTAAATAGTGTAGTTTATGAAACCCTATTAAGATTACTGCAATATAAAAGAAAACAAGTTGAACTTGCAGGGTAATTATTGAAAGTAAATAAATTATTGTCTTGGTGAGTATGAATACAGTCTTGGTTAATGGTAACCATTAGTTTGACTGCGACTGACCTGAACATTAATACTTTCTGAAGTATGGACTGTAAATATTTCCTTTTTTGTTTCATAAGTATTGTGCCCTTTAGGTTTATAGATTAAAAATAGTTAACTGATTATTGATTAGCATTTGCTTTTCTTCAGGCCCACATACTTCCATTTAACTTCCTTCTTGTTGCTAGGTGACCACATTAGGGGGTCCAGGACTTAGACCTGTCAACTATGGCAGACTGCCTTTCTCCTACCTGACAAGATGTCTTTCTGTATTCCACTATCAGATGTGTTCTGTAATAGCATCCTCCAGCCAGTGAGAATGCTGTTTTATACCCCAATCATTCAGTAGGGGCCTCTGTGGTGTGTTGCAGAAAGGAGCATTCCTATTCTTTCCTGATCTCCCCCAGAGTTCAGAATGTAACTATTATGGTAATACTTCTGCCTTCTGTAACAGAAAACAGTAGTCATAAAACAAGATTCAAATTCTGTTCTCCAAGTTTATGTCTACAGTGCAGTTAAACACCTGTGGCTGGCCCATGTCAGCTGACTTGGGATGTACAATTGCAGTGCAGACATTCAGGCTCTCTGGGAATTTGTGAGGGAGGAATATCCCAGAGCTCAGGCTCCAGCCCAAGACCAAACGTCTATACCAGAATTTTACAACCCTCAAAAGACAGAACTGTGTCTTTAAATAATGATTTAATTATTATACTGACATTTTTGTAGGGATGGAAACCAAATATACAAGCAACTCATGGCCTTCGTCCAGCTGAGTAAGTCTATTCTTCCTACTTATGAACTGTCTGTTTCATTCTGCATTAAGTAACTTTGGTAAATTTCCTTATTTTATTGTCTTTATGTTGATATATAAATCAAGGAGTTAGGTGAAATTTATCACCATAGACTTGTTGGCTATGCTTTATACTTGAAGAGGAATTTAACTGTTTTCTTTAAAATGATACTTTTAAAAGTCACACTTATTTTTATAAATTTCACTTTAGTAAAGTAGGTTTTTTTGAAATGTACATTGACATAAATTGGAATCTGGTGGCGTTATTAGTGATTACTCATTAATATTTTTGCTTTCTTTCAAATATTTAAAAGTTGGATGGTTGAGTTTTACTTTTTTAGTTACTATCTAAGCTCATGGCAGTTATTTCTAATTGTAAACAAGCTATCTTTTATACTTTTTACCATTATGAAAGGGGATAGGAAAGAAGAATTGCTGTTCCTTACGGATATTTCATTATAAATACAAAGAAATTGTCATGAGAGAGAGAGAGAATTTTAAAAAGTGATTTGAAATCTGTTTTGTATAGTACTTCCAAAATTGGGGATTCTGAGGCCTGGGAATAGTTATATTAACGTCATCTATTATCAATGCCATATTTGAGACTGAACTGCCTTATTTTAAATAATCTTTATGGTCATTTTAGCTCTCCATACCATTCTACCAGTATGTATCAAACATGACCTTGGAATGTCTGTGGCTGGATAAAGGGATAGTTCAATCTCTGTGTGTATTCAGTCATTCTCCACTGCCTGAATGGGCCTGGAGAGTCAGCATGTCTTCCAGTTCTAGAAGGGACTGGAAGAACAGAGTTTTGAAAAATGGTGGTAGCAAAGTGAGAGAAAGTATGTACTACTGATGCTCAGACTATACTTGTGTGGTTGTTGTTCGAAGGTTTACAGTGCTTGAAACTGAAATCTGGCATCTTTCACAAGTACTGTTTTTAAGTAGGTTTCAGAGTAACAGCCGTGTTAGTCTGTATTCGCAAAAAGAAAAGGAGTACTTGTGGCTCCTTAGAGACTAATGCTCAAATAAATTGGTTAGTCTCTAAGGTGCCACAAGTACTCCTTTTGTTTTTAAGTACACATTCCAAGTCTTAGTGTGACTGGTAGTTTTGTAATGTATTGATTTTAATAAAGGCTTGATTAAATTGTCTATCTTTAGCCAACACTCCTCTGTTTTGCTAAAATAAATACCAGCAGCCACACACAGTGGAATTTAGGGTACGTCTAAGCTGCACACCCTTTAGGGTGACCTGTAGGGTACATACATTAGCATGGGTGTAAATAGCAGTGTAAGTGGTGAGGTACTGCTTAGTTGAGTAAAGATACCCGTGAACCCTTGGAATATGTACTCTACACAGCTCAGAACATGACCCTCCCCCTCCCACTGTTTTTGACAGTGTAGTGTCTTGCTACCTCCCTACTGCCAGTCTTTCCCTGCTGCAGGGACCTGTGGGGAAAGGCTCTGGCAGGATGTGACAGCAGGAGCCTTTCCCCACTGATGCATGTGGCTATGCACCACAGTGTGAATGCAGCTCACTTTTTTCTGTGGCATTTAACTATCCATACTCTGTATGCCACCATAAGTGGTGTGCAATATAGACATAGCCTTACGGTCTGATCCAGCTCCCACTGAAAGTTAGCGGGCATTGGATTGAACCTAAAGGGCACAATCCAGAAAGATGCTGAATGCATCTTCGATAGTGCTGGGTATCTTCAACTCCAGTTTATTTTAGAGGGTGGTAAGGACACTCATTATCTAGTGGGATTAGGGCTAAAATGAAGTAAAAATACAGAATTGCTTAATGTATTTCAATTGACTTTTTAATTTCTTTAAGCTGAATGAAGAGTCACTATTGGTATTTAATTGCAGTATAGTTGGGTTCCACTGTGCTAATTCCCTTCCAATTAGTTTTGAAGGGCTGCATTCAAAAAGGATTACTTTTTACTTTCCCATTGCCTCTCTTCTGGCTGATTATGGAGAAGAGAGAATTTGCCACAATACTATTGTGGCAGAGGCGTAATGAGAAATCCCTGGCTTCTGATCTTGCTGCAGCTGCTCCTAGTGAGGAGTGAAGAGGAGCCAGGATGGTCTTGATAGAACTATCTGAGGCTGGAAGTGAAGATAGGGTCTTCCAGGGGCCCTTCACAGCTGCCAGTGTCCTCTGCAACTGGCGATGAAGAAAGGCTCTGTTACCACTTCTGAGGTGAAGCGAAGGGGGTTGGTAGGGACTTTTGCCAGGTAGGCCCTCTCCAATTATAGTGAAACTGTTTATAGCGAAGATATTTTTGTGAATGGGAAAAGCACTTCATTATCAGAGGGTTCCCTTGTACTGCAATTGAAAACATGTATTGAGAATGTATTGAAGCATTACTAAGGCCATTTTTTAACTTCCTGCAGGGTGCCATGCCTTGATTTGGGCAAGTTGGGGTCTTCAGATGAAGAGGTTAGTGTTATCTGAAAAGTTTGCAGAAGTTGGTCAAAACATTTCTTTTGACTATGAAATAAGTACAAATAATCTTGTTCTCTTTGTATTTTAGGATGGAGATTCTTACGTACCATACAGTAAGAGGTTTCCTCGCATTGGCCCTCCAGATTCATCTTCAACTGTTAGTTGGGGTACACCATTACAGACTCCTTATGCACAGCATCATCAGATACAACAGGTCAGTTTGCCACTACTGATATCTTAAAAATTCTGTCTTTCATGAGAATTGAAGCAAATAAAGCACGTCTAATTTTATTACACAATTTAGTTCTTTCCATTTGTGTGACTAAATTAAAAGATAGAGTATTATTGGTTGAAGTGCTTTCTAATAAGAGTTTCTTTTTTTTTCTTGGAAGCTTTTCAGAAATTTCAAACTCCATTTCTTCATCACAGTAACCGTTTATTGTAGACTGTTGATTTATACTCTAATTCTTTTAATTTTGCCTACTAACAGTTTGTACACTAGTGGTCGCTATTGTTAGTAACAATTTGTGAAAGCATCTGAAAATTGTGAATTGAGGTAGCATATAACTTTGATTTCTACTTCTAAACAAATCTTAAGAAAATTGTTGTAAATCAGAAAATAATAAAATAATTAACCAAAATAAGAAATAGTTCTTAAACATAAGATATGAAAAATAATTTTTTTTTTACAAATAGAAGATATTTATTTTTTGGAAGAATCTGAGTTGATTTTGGCCACTCATAGACTATCGTAGCGGAGTGCAATAACTTCATTATTAGTGTTTTTCTTCCTTTCAAAGAGAATTTCAGAGTAATATCTAGTTTGGTTGACAACATAATAGTATATATTTTTAAATAAATAGAACATCAGTATTTATTCTTCTCTTTCTGTGCTGAGTAAGAATGTAAAATTCTAAAAAAGACCAGCTAAACCTAGTTGTCATAGAGGGAAAATCAGTTATTCAGTTTTAACATACTGCTTTCTGGAAAATTACAGAGCTGTCCAAATTACTGAAATTAAGAATACGTTTGATAATGACTCTGCTGAATGTTTTTTTCAGTCAGTCATTGTTACTTGAGAGTGAGAAGAGGTGTCCTTTGAATTTTTCTGTTTTTTGTTTAACTTTGGAAAAATGTATTTGACAAATTTTCTTATGATTCATGCAGCATGGATGGTGACAATTACTATTTAAAATAACATTTATTTTTCCTTTCTATTAAACAGCTGGCTAGAAAACATTGTCAGAAGAAAATGGAGGTAAAATAGCTGGAAAAATACATCCTGACAAAATAATATTATCAGTTGAATAGCAGAGGATTGTGATGTATGATCTGAAAATTAAACACGTTTTAATTTCTTTGGTATGATAAGGAAATGGCTTAGTTGAGAGACTTTTAATCTCCTATTATTTTATATAGTTAGCTTTTGCATTTTGAAACTGTATCAGCTGTGATAGTTTTTTGTCATTAGAAGAAGGAAAAGATTCAGGGGTTGCAAAGGTTAATCGTCTGAGATTCATATGTGGTCAAGAAGCGGTTTCCCAAACTTCAAACCAGTTCAGGACTTGTACAAATCTACAGGATTATTTTCTGTGGTAAGGGTGAGAGGTATATGCCAAATTTTAGTAAATTGCATTATATTTCTGTAGTTAAAGAATGGAAGGCATCCTAACCTCCCTATGTGTGTATGTCCTGCTGGAAAATTTGAAAACATCCTTTGGTAGTTCTTTTAAAAAAATTAATTTTCTTTAAACCCAAAAACAATTTAATACAAAAAGTGAGTCCATAACAGCAGTCATACCATGTGAGGGCCTGATCATGAGAATATCTATGCACCTATGCAGTCCTTAAGCAAATAATCCCTTGAAGTCAAATGGGACACTTGCATGAGTAGTAGTTTGGAGGACTGGGTCCTTAGAAAGTAGCACTGTGCTGCCAGTGTAGGTTGGAACATTGTTTGGAACAATGTAAAACCTTTTTATCACCTTTCAGCAATTGTTAATAATACAGCAACTCACACTGATTAACTTAGAGCATGGTCATTCTCTGTATGAAATGACCACCTATTAGGTCACTTTTTCCCCAATTAGGACACTGCAAACCACATTCTCTCTCCGTGTGTGTGTGTGTGTCTGTGTGTGTGTGTGTGTGTGTGTGCTTTCTCGGCTTGTCTATGCTACACGTTTTTTGCCTGCGTAGTTATGTTAGCAGAGCCTCCTGGTGCAGATACAGCAGGCGCCAACAGAATAAGTTCCGCGAGCATAGCTAAATCACTTCCCTGTTCGACATTGGCTAAGCCGACAGAAGCACTCTTCCTTTGTCATAGTGGCATTTACAACAGGTTTTGCTGTCATAGCTATGTCAGTTAGAGGGTGTGATATTTCCCCTCCCTTCCTGCCCCCCACTCCAAATCCTGTCCAACATAGCTATACCAACAAAACTTTGTAGTGTGGACTAAGCCTGTATAGGTGTGTGTCTTTGTCTCTCTCTCGTCCTCTCTGACTAACTTAAGACAATATGCATGTTATTAATGTGAGTTGCTATGTTCTTATTAGCTGAATATTGAGATATAAATATAATCTCTTTTGCTAGAAGGCATTTTTCAGATTGATAATCAGTGAACATAAATCTGTTTTACTACTGTAAAGTTGAAATGGCTTTGACTACCTCCCAGTTTCTTCTTTTCCTCTCTTTCATTTTCTTTTACCTTCCCTCTCCCTCTTTATCCCCTTCATTATTTCCCAGATACCACAGGGATGGATGTGATATAAGAACCTAAATAGAATATATCTCCTGCTCATTCTCCCTCTTTGTTTCTATTCCATCTGAATCTACCTTGAGGAGAAAAGATAGTCAAGTGCCACTGATATATTTTAACATATTTTTCTGTGTGGCCATGATTTCTGCATTGTTTGCTTCAGATGCCTGATTGTAGCAATACTTCCACACGAAATAAAAAAAAACTCATGCTTCCTCTGTAGGAAACTTCATAGGTGAATCTTCCCTAAGAGACTAGGTGGTAAAATAATTTAAATGTAGATTTTTTTTTTCAATTTATTTCTTGGTCATTCCCACTCAGTTCTACTGTTACTCCATGGCCTGGTCTACAATGAGATTGACCTAGCTACGTCACTGAGAGCTGTGAAAAATGTCGTGCTCTGAGTGCCATAGTTAGGTTGACCTAGTTCCCAATGTAGATGTGGCTAGGTCAGTGGGAGAAGTCTTTCATCAACCTAGCTATCGCATCCCAGAGTTATGGATTTAACTACAGTGACAGAAAAACCTGTTTTGTTGATCTAGGAAGCAGTGCTATAGTGACTGTAGGGTAGGCATGCTCCAAGTCCTGTTTGTAGAACACTTATAAAATCATCAAGAAAAACAACAAGAGTTTCATGAGAGCAACCTAATGTTGTTATACAACAGTATTTATGTTCTTCTAAATGTTAAGTGTGGTGTCAAGGAACATCAGTCCTTTAACTGCACAAATGTACTGGAGGAGTATAATAATCCTGCTGTTGACATTGTGTATCACAGTAGGAGGCTGTTATTTCTGATTATTCTTTGCTTTTTAGCTTTCTTTGGAGCAAAAGACAATACCAGAAAATCTGCCATCCCCAACAGACAAATACAAACTAAAATACCAGCAGTATGAAGCAGAAATGAAAGAGGGATATAAACAGTATTCTCAGAGAACTACAGAAAAGAAAAAAAACAATGCCCAGTCTCAGGAATCTTCAAGAAAAACAGCACATAAAAAGGTAACCTATTTTAAACTTGTAGATGTATTTTGGAACTCATCCTCATTAGTATCTGAACATCTCTACTGTTGAATAGGCATTAAAATAGAGGAAACCTATTTGAACCCTTTCCTCTTATGAACACTAGAAGCATAAGTCTCCAGTGGGAGAGCAAGTATATGCTTTGGGAAGGCACTTCTCCTAGCCAGATGAGCAAGATTTGCATGGGCTACGGATAATATTTCTTATTTATTATTAATATTATTTATTATATATTATTTCTTTTTATTAGAAGGAAAATGCATAATTGGTGACTCCAAAAGAGGAGGGATGATTGTAAAAATGTTACATTAGAATGGTGAAGTGCTTTCAATCCTTATTGAAATATGTATATAGAGCCATAACTTTGCATAGTTTACAAAGAACAGAAAAAAATATATTCCCACTGCCCTATAGAACTTACAGATAAATAGAAAATGAAAATTAGCAGAAAAAAGATGTTGTGGGGAAAAGGGTTAAAATAAATAAAGATAATGTCAACTATTTAGATTGTAAGTCCTTTGGGGGCAGGGATAGCTTATTCCATGTGTGTATGGTGCCCAGTACAAGAGAATCCCAAACCCTGATTGGGACTTCTTGGTGCTACCACAATACAAATAATAAATAATAATTGTATTATATTACTAATGAGCAGAATTTATAAGATTATCTTTTAAAATAAGACTGGTGTAAAAGTTGAGGAGTAGACAGCAGAGGAGTGGAGATCAACAATGGAAAAACAAAATAAAAAAAGTTACCTTTCATTTTCTTTTGAAGAAGAGGGAGAGGGTGAGGATGCTCAGCACACCGGAAGAGTTAGCATTCCAGGTGTGAGGAGAAGCATGAAACAGACATGAAGGTGGGAGCAGGAGGTGAGCAAGAGGTGTGAGAAGGGGGATGGCCATTGAAGAGAGAAACTGGATGAAGCCTTGATCAAAGATGATGATGAGTTTGAATACTATGGAAAGAAAGAGGAAGCCAATGAATCACTAAAAAGCAGTGAAATGACAATGGTGAAGGATAATTTTAGCTGCTGAATATTAATAGAATGGAAAGGAAAAAGTTATGGAGGAGGGAGATTAGTGTCCCAGGCAGAGATGGCTACTGTGTATATTGCTTGATTGTCTTAAAAGGACACTGACCACTTGAAATTAAATTTGCAAATGTACTTAGCTGTGTTCGAAGTAAAACCTAAGAGAACCTATAACTGAAAGAACTGAGACAGGAAAAATATCCTTTTTTTCTAATTGTGTTTATTTTGTTCATGTTGTAGCACCTTGTTAGTGACAGTGTTTTGTTGATGGTGAGTTTCATTTCCTCTCTCCTGCACAAGCATAACGCCACAATGTCCTGCATCTGGCTAAGAGTAACTCACTTGCAAGCTCTACTTCACCAGGCTCTGCAAGAGAGCATTTATGGGAGTAGCACAACTGAAAGGACACCAGATGGATGTTTTCAAAGAGGAAGAGGAGGGCAGAATAGAATAATTGGAGTCAAGTGTGTTTGGTGGAGTTGCTTTTGGGCCCACTCAAAAGATATTTCTAAACATCAGACGAGTAAAAATCCTTTTTTTTTTAAAAAAAGTAAAATAAAAAATCAGGCTATACTATTTTTAATACCTTGATTTTATCCTCAAGTGTTTAATTACTTTTTTCTTCAGTCTTCACTAAAAAAGTTAATTGTATTCAGATGTTCAACACAGTGAATATTAACAAGGGAGAAGGATCTCTTGTCAGAATAGCAAAAGAACAGGTTAAAGAAATACTAAAATAAGCTAGATATATTTAAGTTGGCAAAGTCTGATGAAATTCACTGTAGAATACTTGAGCTATCAAAGCAATTTCTAAACGATTAATAATTATGGAGAACAGCTGAGGTCCCAGAGGACTGGTGATGGACAAACTTAGTACCTATCTTCAAAAAGGGGAAAAAGGAGGTTTTAGGGAATTACGAGCTGTCAACCTAGAAAGATAATGGAACGAATGATTAAACAATCAATTTGTTGAAACCTGAGGGATAATAAGGTGAGAAGTAATAGCCAACATGGATTTGTCAAGAACAAATCGTGTCAAACCACTCTAATTTCCTTCTTTGAAAGGGTTACTGGCTTAGTGGAGGGAGGAAGCAGTACATGTGGTATCTCTGGACTTTAGTAAGGTTTTTGACACTCTCCCACATAACGTTCTCATAAGTAAATTAGGGAAATATGGTCTAGATGAAATTACTATAAGGTGGTTGTATAGCTGATAACTAGTCTTTGAGTACAGTCTGTTAGTGATTCACTGTGAAACTGAGAGGGCTGCATTTGGTACTATTCACAATTTTAATTAACAACAGATAATGGAGAGTATGTTCATAAAATTTGTGGATGACATCAACCTGGGAGGGGTTGCAAGCACTTTGGAAGACAGGATTAGAATTCAGAATGATCTCAATATATTGGAGATTTGATCTGAAATCAATCAGATGAAATTCAAGAAAGACCAGTGCAAAGTACTACACTTAAGAAGGAAAAATCAAATGCACAAATGCAAAATGGATCATATTTGGTTCTGCGGTAGTGCTGTAGACACCAATCTTGTAGTTGCAGTTGATCACAAATTGAATATGAGCCAATGAGATGCAGTTGCAAAAAAAGGCTAATATTCTGTAGTGTATTAATAGGATTATTGTATGTAAGATATGGGAAGTAATTGTTCAGCTCTACCAGTCTCTGGTGAGGCCTCAGGTGGAGTACTGTTTCCAGTCCTGGGTGCCACACATTAAGAAAGATGTGGACAAATTGGAGAGGGGGTAGTGCAAAGCAACAAACATGATACAAGGTTTAGAAAACCTGACTGATAGGGAAAGGTTAAAAACAGGGCATATTTAGTCTTGAGAAAAGAATACTGAAGAGGTAACTTATTTTAGGGTTGTTATCAGATAAGAGTTGTTGTACAGGACAGTGATCAATTGTTCTCCGTGTCCAGTGAAGGTAGGACAAGCAGTAATTGTCTTATTCTGCAGCAAGTGAGATTTAGGTTGGATATTAAGAAGATTTTTCTCACTAAAAGGAAAGGTAAACTCTGGAATAGTCTTCCAAGGGAGATTGTGAAATCCCATCTTTGGAGGTTTTTAAGAACAAGATGGACAAACATCTCTCAGGAATGGTAGGTATACTTGATCCTGCCTCAGCACAGTGGGATGGACTGTATGACCTCTCTGAATCCCTTCCAGCCCTACATTTCTATGATTCAGTGAAATACCATATGTAAAATAGCTGGTGAGTCAGTATTACTCAGAAAAGGATTTAAGGGTTATAGTGGATCATAAAGTGAATATGAGTCAGTGTAATACTATGGCAAAAACGGCAAATGTTGTGGGATATATTAACAAGAGGGTCTTATATAAGATATGGAAGGTAATTGTTCCCCTCTACTCTGCACTGGTAAAGCCTCAGCTGGAGTACTGTGTGCAGTTTTGGGCACCACATGTCAAGAAAGATGTGAACAAACTGGAGAGAGTCCAGAAGAGAGCAACAAAACTGATAAGAGGTTTGGAAAACATAATATATGAGGAAAGGTTGAAAGAACTGGATGTTTTTAGTCCAAAGAAAAGAAGGCTGAGGAGGAGCATAACAACAGTTGTCAAATATGTAAAGAGGACAGTGATTGATTGTTCTCCACATCCAACAAGGGTGGGACAAGAAGTAATTGGCTTAGTTTGTAGCAAGTGAGATTAAGGTTAGATATTAGAAAAAGCCTTTCTAACTGTAAGGATAATTGAGCACTAGATTTGGTTGTGGAATCCGCATTGTTGGAGGTTTTAAGAACAAGTTAGTCAACACCTGTCAGGGATGGTGTAAGCATACTTGGTCCTGTCTCAGTGTAGGGGGATGGACTAGATGACCTCTTGAGGTCCCTCCCAACCTTACATTTCTATTATTTTATGTATAGAATTTATAAAATACACAATTAGATTTTTTTAATGAGTCCCTGAGAACATAAATAATTGTTTTATGAAAACGTGATCTTTGCATTCGGCATAATTAATTAAAAAAAACAACTCTGCTTCCAGTGAATTTTTCTGAAAAGTGTCTGTATTTCTTCCCCTTCATTTATAAATATATTACATTTACCCTGTCCATCCATCTCCTCTTAAGAGGATTGTTAACTTCTGTAAAACTGCAGGAGATCTCTGTTACAAGAGAAGTCTAAACCAGCAGTTCTCAAACTGTGGGTCAGCACCCCAGAGTGGGTCATGACATCATTTTAATGGGGTTGCCAGGGCTGGCATTAGACTTGCTGGGGCTGAAGCCAAAGCCTGAGCCCCACCGCATGGGGTCAAAGCCTGAGCCACCACTGGCCAGGGCTGAAGCCAAAGCCTGAGGGCTTCAGCACTGGGGGTGAGGCTCAGGTTACAGGCCCCCCACTTGGGGCTTAAGCCCTTGGGCTTTGGCTTTGGTCACCCTGCCCGGGTAGTGGGACTTGGGCTTTAGCAGAGCTTGGGTGGGCTCAGGCTTTGGTCCCCCCTCCTGGGGTCATGTAGTAATTTTTGCTGTTAGAAGGAGATTGTGGTGCAATGAAGTTTGAGAGCCCCTGGTCTAAACCGAAGAAAAATATTTTTGTTTGCTGCAACTGATTGTCCATGATGTTGTAAGTAGAATTCAGTGTATTTCTTTGTAGGATCCACAGCTTGAAGACAGGACTGATCATGATCTTACGGCTCTTGATGAGAAAGCCCTCTTGCAGCAATGCTATACAAGCAAGCCTTACACAATGCAGCACAGTATAAGGAAGTTAGAAGCTGTAAGTTTCCTGGATGGTATTAAATTGTTACATAAATATCCCTGTATATCAAGTCTTGTAGGTATAAATTTTGATATGCTGTAGAAATATAGAATGGGGTTTTCAAAAGCAGTCAGTGCACAACTTCTTCAATTGAAGTAAAAAGAAATGTAACCATTGTTTTCAATGGGAACAGAGTTAGGCTAAGTGCTGAGCACTTCTGAAAATCTCACTGATAGCAGTTTGTATATATGTGTATTTTTACATAACATATTTATATTGATTAAATCATACATGATCTAGCATTGACAAGGAAATTAACTGCGTGACCTAATAGAGCTCTCCTATTTCTTCTCTGATGTTTTGTCAGAACTGTGCAGAAAAAGCACAAGAACTCTAAACACTGAGTTTACGATTATTTTATAATGAAATTGAACTTTGGTGAGATCTCGTTTTGTGTGCTTTACTACTGAACATGAATGGTGTTTTTTTTCCTATTTGTTTTTTTGTGGACACAACTGTCTATTGAAATGGGTTAGCATAGTGACATTCTCACAAAATATGTTAAGCCATTCAAATTTTTGTGAGACTGTAAATGCAAGTAGAATAAATGGAAAGTACTATTTGCCCATCTGTTTGAATTGAAGTTTGCATCATAAACACTTAAATTATTGTAATTCCCATTGAAGTGAATGTAGATGGGGCACTACTGATAGCAGTAGTTCCTTGCATGACAGGAAAACTCTCATATCTGTTACTATCATCAGATACTTTATCTGTTTGCTTCTTTAATTAAAAAAAAACAAAACAACCACCCTTAATATTAAGGGCTCAGTGCTGCAGGGATGAGCATTGTGCTAGGGCAGTTCAGAGCCACCATTTAAAATTGCTGAATGTCACCTTTTGTTAGTCACAGTCAGCTAAGGTGCAGAAAATGGAGAGGAGTGGGTGCTACTGGCTGATTGGGCTGTCAAGAACACTGTAACCAACATACTTTGAGTCATTAAGTAGCTGTTTGAAAGATGTCAAGGGAACCTTTAGAAGCATTTCTGTCAGTCTTCGGCACTCATACATATGCCCTCTCTCTTTCTAAGTGTCTCTTAAGCACAACTTCTGGTTGACTGTAGGAGTAATTGTTAGCGACTACATGTGCCATTTACATTCACTGGATTGCATTTAAGCACGTATGCATTGGCCATGCTCAGTACCCACCCATTCCCTTACCAAGACTGTAATTTCTCCACAGTATGAAAGGCTCTGCACAGTTGCTGAGCAAATGCTGAATGTTAAGAGGTAGTGCTTTGGCTCTCAGCACTACTTTCAGCAATGCTTAGCAGCCTCTAGGACTTGTCTTTTTGCTGGACTACACCAATAAAACAAAACGGCTTGATTTATGGATCATCTGATGTATTGAACTCACTGTGTTGTGATTAAGGACAGTAGCACATAGAATATTCTATCAGAAGGTCTTGAAATAGTTGTTGAACTTGGATATCTCATATACAAAAGTACATGGGCACAACGAGTGAAAGCAGCCAAGGCATCCTTAACTTAGAATTTCAATTTTGAGTTGATTTATGTCATATCCTTAGTGCTTTGAGAGAGATTTAATCTGTTATATATATAATTTGAGTTCTCATCCATACATTTTTTCTTTTCTGAAAATATCAGCCCTATTGTCAGTTGTGCATAGTTACTTTTAAAAAGCCTTAAAGATGGTCTTAAATATCATATATGTTAACATTTCCTTTGAGTGTAACTGTTATTAATACATACTTTTAATGTGTAGTTTTTCTGTAATTTCCTTCTGTTCATTGTTTTGCAGTATCAAAAATAGCTTAGAAGTAAGCCGTTATATTTTGTATTTATATTGAAGAGTATTTTGAGGAGATAGCAACCATGATGCAGACTTCTTTGATTGAAGGTTTGCATCCACAGCTGGTCAGTTCAGTCTGTAGTCTAGGAGTACTCTTGGATTCCTCGCTGATGCTGAGCTCTCACATCACAATGGCTGTGAGATTCTGTCCCATCCTGGCAGGTGAAGACCTGGCCTCAGTTATTCATGCATCCATTACCTTTTGGCTGGACCTACAGCAATACAATATGCCTGGGCATGAAACTGTCAGCACTTAGGAAATGCCAACAAATACAAAACATTGTAGCATGTCTCCTCAGCAACACAGGCTACTTTGAGCACATTGCACCTGCCCTATGCTCTCTACACTGACTTCCCATAGAATTTTGAATCAAGGTCAATGTCTTGGTCCTTATCTTCAAAGCTCTCCATGGCCGGGGCCCAGAATACCTAAAAGACTGCTTAAAGCTCCTGGATTAAAACAACTTTGCTCCTCTGACACAATAGAACCCTCAACAGTAAGAGTAAAGCTCATCTGTGTGGGAGACAGGACCTTCTCTGGGGGTTGTCACGGACTCTGGAAATAACTCCCCCAGTAACTAAGGACTATCACAAACCTCACCAGCTTCCACTCCAAGTGCAATGTGCATTTCTTTGACTTTGCCTTCTCTAACATAAAGACACATAGCAACAGGTATGTCTAAGAAAACAATAACATCCTACAAAACCAGGGCACACCATTCCACACGCTTCTTCCTCTGGGAAGTGAATGAGAGAGCAAACAATACATAACAGATGTATGGTCACCTGGCTAAACACACTGCTGGAAGGCACTTGGATACTATGGTGACGAGTGCAATATGAAGGCTTGTATATATTTACTATGCAGAATATCTAAATGATCTATAAGAATGAGTGAAATGAGAATTCTCCTGTTTAAGGAAGACTGTGGTGTCATCCTGGAGCAAATCACACAAACTGTACCAAATATTGTTAGAATTTTGCAGAAGAAGCTGTATTCCTTTAAAATAAAAAGGCTATTTTGTTCACAGTAGAGTTTCTTCTTTTTGTCCTATGATCTCTATTGAAATCAAATACTTGTCTCAATAGCTTTGTAACAGCCCTACCATGAATTTCTCTAACAGCTGAATGAAGGATGCACTTAAAAAAAAAAAAAAAAAAAAAAAAAGTCTTCTGGCATTGAATTGAAATTCAGATGTTGAAGTTTCACTCACTAAAATGGGATTCTCCCTTCTCAACATGCACTGCTTGAGTCTTAGTGTGGAAATCTATGGGCATTTAGGAAATGCTCCATAGTCTACAGCTTACAGTTATCACTTTGTCCTCTAGTATATAATTACTTTTAACCTATCCCTTGGATCAAGTAATGGGAAAAGATGTATATGTTCAATAACTTAATATAATGCACTGATGATTGTGACACCTAACTGCATCACAGATAAAAACCAAACATTAGTAATTCAGAAAGGAAAAAAGCCTGCTCAGAATAAACAGTTTGTGATGAATTTGAGTTAGCTATTCTGGCAAGTGGTAATTCATACTTACTGGATAGTGTTGGCATCCTTTCGTCTGCGAGAGATAGTGGGAATTGCAGTCTATGATGCAGATGGTTTGCAATGTCTCAGGTGACTGAATAATCCAATCTGAGATTTGCACGATCTTTGCCAGTTATTGGAAATGTATGTATCTTGGTTGGGAGCTGCTTGCTTCCTACGGGCTCTTTTATCTTCCAGCTGTAGGAGCCAGCTTCTGTCATAGACTTTGATACTCTGGTGGAGATGATGGAGCCTCTTGTTATGATCACTTGCCAAGATTTCCCATTGGTCAGGATCAATTCCAAATTCCTTCATATCTCACTTGCATGTGTCTTTATAGTGAAGCTTGGGACATCCTGCTGTTCTTGTTTCCTCTGATAGCTCCCCGTATAGCATGTCCTCGGGTATCTGTCCATCTTCCAACCTACTCAGATGGACCAGCCAGCGCGGTCGTCTCTGCTTGAGCAGGGCTGTCACAGTTGTTAAATTTGCCCTTTGAATAACCTCTGCGTTGGTGACTGTATCTTGCAGTTTGGTGTTGAGTATGCGGTGTAAACAATGTAGGTGGAAACTGTTTAATCTTTCTCCTGATAAGCATATGTTGTCCATGTTTCCCCACCATACATGAGAGTGCTGAGGACACAAGCTTGGTACACTAGCATTTTGGTCTTGATGGTAAGCTTTGAGTTATTCCATGCTCTTTTAGTTAGTCTGCTAAATGTGGTGGTAGCCTTTCCAATGCAAACATTTTAGTGCTTCATCCAGTGAGAAGTTGGTGGTAACTGTAAAACCTACAAGCTGATCTTTTGGATTACTTCTAGCTGGTTTGCATTTAAGGTAATTGAAGGATCTTGTGGAACCCTCTGTCCTAACACAACTGTTATATTGATGGTGAGAGCAAATGCCTGACAAGCACTTGAAAGGCGGTTCATGATTTCTTGTAGTAGATTTCCATCATGGGCTGTGAGAGCAGCATCATCAGCCAATAGAAGTTCCTTGTTTAGCACCTTTTAATTTTGGTCTTTGACTTAAGTCGGGAGAGGTTGAAGAGTTTCCGATCTGATGTTGTGTGGAGATACACTTCATCTTTCATGTCCTTAAACACACAATTCAAGAAGATTCGAAAGAGTGTAGGGGCAAGAACACATCCTTGCTTCACTCTGCTTTTCATCTCAAAGCTGTCCGAAGTGGACTCGCCAAACTGGACAGTTATTCTCATGTTGTTGTGGAATGAATGTATAAGATTTAACAGGGTTGATGGGCATCCTGTCTTTCCTAGTATTGCAAATAGACTGGCTCTGCTGACTGTGTCAAATGCTTTGATTAGGCCCACAAAGGTGATGTACAATGCTTTCTCTATGCAGAGAGCAAAACTGACTTACTGGGAGACTTGTGCATTATACCCTTTACAACTTAACCCTATAACAACTTTGGTAAAGTTAGTGATTATCCTTTAAAGTTTATCTGGTGTTTGATTGGCAACCAGTTTTTCATCCTCTTCAACTATAGTAGGACTTGATCTGTATAGAATTTGGCTTGCACATGTAAAAATGCCTACCCAGGAAAGCTTCTCTCAGGCACAGATTGTCTCTGTATTTAGCACATTAGTGAAATAGAGTTGCACTAAGATAGAGGGAGCGACAGCAAAGATAGAGGTAGATAACTGATCACAGGTATACAGATTGGGTTGGGAGCTTACATTAAAAAAAACACTGTACAATGTCTTTGTCTTCCCAAGAAAACAAACTATGTAAATGTCATGGAAATAAGGGAAAACCTAAATTCAGCAGAGAAGTTCAGAAATCTGATATATTTTAAATGATAGGGTTTTGCCAGAGAGTAAAACCCACTACTAGCAAGGAAGAATAGTTGGGATAATCTGTCCAATGAATAGGGTGAATCCTGTAAGACTCTTCCAGTTGTCATATATCCCAGGAGGAGAATATTCCAGCACATAGCTGACCTGCTTTCAAATACATAATTGAGTGGACAATCATAGAAGAATCTTTCACAACACAAAATCAAATTGGTAGAGGTAAATCTTCATTTGCTTGAAATCATAATTTGTATCTGCACTGATTCCTGTGATACATTGGATAGGGAGGGAAGTTTCTCTTATGCTTTGTCCCACTTTAAATAATACACTGAAAGTAATGTGGGAGCAAATATAAAGAAATCTGGCCCTCCGCATAAATGTTAGAGTTCTCCTTTATGTGTAGACAATAAAATTACACAGAGCTAGTGCATATGTAAACAGTTTAACTGTATCAGAATGCATTATGTGGCTCTAATTTAACTGAACTTCATTCACCGTATAATTTTCTTGATTTTAAAAAAAAGATAAGGTAAGAGAGTGAAATGACACATTTGAAAATTCCATATTGCTTAACTGCACCCTCTGAAAATCATCTTATTTTCTGAAGTGTTTATTGTATCTCATAGGCTCTTAATGGGTTTTTCATTTCAGGAGGATGTAGCTGCAGAGAGGAGAAAGCAAACTGTAGTAGAGCAAGTGATGGTGGATCAGTTATCTAGGTAAGAGAATATACAAAGTATAATTACAAGTTAACACTGTAGAAGAATCAACTATCTGAAAGTGTGCCCTACCTTGTGAAGGAAGTATTGTTTTGTTTTTTTAAAATTTGTGAACATTCTTTAAATTCTTTAATTTTTTTGTAATATTTATGGGACGAAAATGATCAGCCTTCTAATTTTAAATGCTATAAGTATGATGTAAGTATCTCTCAGAATTAAAATTTATTAACACTTGCACCCTAATTTTAAGTAAAAACAACAAGGAGTCCTTGTGGCACCTCAGAGACTAACAGATTTATTTGGGCATAAGCTTTTGTGGGCTAGAACCCATTTCATTGGATGCATGGAGTGAAATACAGGAGCAGGTATAAATACATGAAAGGTTGGAGGGTTGCTTTACCAAGTGTGAGGTCAGTCTAATGAGTTAAATCAATTACCAGCAGGAGACCAAGGGAGGAAAAATAACGTTTGAAGTGGTAAGAGTGTGGCCCATTACAGACAGTTGACAAGAAGTTGTGAAAGGTTTCAGAGTAGCAGCCGTGCTAGTCTGCTATCCACAAAAAGAACAGGAGTACTTGTGGCACCTTAGAGACTAACAAATTTATTAGACCATAAGCTTTCGTGGGCTACAGCCCATTTCATCAGATGCATGTGAAGGTGTGAGTAACAGTAGGGAGAAATTACAATTGGGGAAATTAAGTTTAGGTTTTGTAATGACCCAACCACTCCCAGTCTCTGTTCAGGCCTAATCTGATGGTATCCAGTTTGCAAATTTATTCCAGTTCTGCAGCTTCATGTTGGAGTCTGTTTGTTTTTGAAGTTTTTTTGTTGAAGAATTGCCACTTTTAGGTCTGTTATTGAGTGACCAGAGAGATTGAAGTGTTCTCCTACTAGTTTTTGAATATTATGATTCCTGTCAGATTTGTGTCCATTTATTCTTTTGCGTAGAGACTGTGCGGTTTGGCCAATGTACATGGCAAAGGGGCATTGCTGGCACATGATGGCATATAGCACATTGGTAGATGTGGCTTGGTAGATCCAATGTCATATATGCCATCATGTGCCAGCAATGCTCCTTTGCCATGTACATTGGCCAAACCGGACAGTCTCTACTCTGAAACCTAATTTTAAGTGTTTTACAGTACACTCTTGAGAGCTAATTGCATGCTTTTCTGCAAAATATATTGGTGCCTTTTGTAATACATTATACTTCTTTACTGTTTTAAAAATTTGAGATTCTCAGAAGAAAGGCACTAATGAATTAATCAGCACAACACTCCTTTGAAGTAAGACAGTATTGTTCCAGTTTTACAGAGTTGGCTCTGAGAGATGGAGTTGGCCAATGTCCCACAACTAGGCAGTTAACACCCATGAGTTGGCAGGTCTTTGGAGCACTTTAGACATCATTTCAGTGCCTTGAAGGAGGAAGGGTCTTGTGCTTTTGTTTGGTGACCCTCACCCAGCAGTATAAGTAACAGCACTGACTGTCTCTGGAAAGAACCAGAGGAAAGTAATAGAGCCTTTGCAGGAACAGAGGGAATGAAAATAACTTTGTGCTGCTTCAGATTGCAAAATACATTCTAATTTTTTTTTCTTATTTAAAAGTATATGTGATGAAACACAATAAGATGTGCACTAATGGACCATTCTTGCATTTCTTTGTGCTTGAAGTAACTGATTATTAGGCTTATTTTCCTTAATATATCTTAGGTATGCACAAATAATGCCAGCCTGTGAAGTATGATTATATTACCCTAGCATTTACAAGAGTTAGAACAAAAGTGATCTACAAATTTATAAAAAGAAAGGGAGGACCTGTGGCACCTTAGAGACTAACGAATTTATTTGAGCATAAGCTTTCGTGAGCTACAGCTCACTTCATCGGATGCATTCAGTGGAAAATACAGTGGGGAGATTTATATACACAGAGAACATGAAACAATGGGTGTTACCATACACACTGTAAGGAGAGTGATCAGGTAAGGTGAGTTATACTAGCGGGGGAGATGGGGGGTGGAACCTCTTGTAGTGATAATCAAGGTGGGCCATTTCCAACAGTTGACAAGAACATCTGAGGAACAGCGGCGGGGGGAGGAATAAACAGAGGGAAATAGTCATTACTTTGTGTAATGGCCCAGCCACCCCCAGTCTTTATTCAAGCGTAAGTTAATTGTATCCAGTTTGCAAATTAATTCCAATTCAGCAGTCTCTCGTTGGAGTCTGTTTTTGAAGTTTTTTTGTTGAAGAATTGCCACTTTCAGGTCTGTAATCGAGTGACCAAAGAGATTGAAGTGTTCTCCAACTGGTTTTTGAATGTGTTAATTCTTGATATCTGATTTGTATCCATTTATTCTTTTATGTACAGACTGTCCAGTTTGACCGTATATCACATTGGTAGATGTGCAGGTGAACGAGCCTCTAATAGTGTGGCTGATGTGATTAGACCCTATGATGGTGTCCCCTGAATAGATATGTGGGCACAGTTGGCAACGTGCTTTGTTGCAAGGATAGGTTCCTGGGTTAGTGGTTCTGTTGTGTGGTTGCTGGTGAATATTTGCTTCAGGTTGGGGGGCTGTCTGTAGGCAAGGACTGGCATGTCTCCCAAGATCTGTGAGAGTGATGAGTCGTCCTTCAGGATAGGTTGTAGATCCTTGATGACCTACAAGTGGCAATTCTTCAACAAAAAAACTTCAAAACAGACTCCAACAAGACACTGCTGAATTGGAATTAATTTGCAAACTGGATACAATTAACTTAGGCTTGAATAAAGACTGGGAGTGGATGGGCCATTACACAAAGTAAAACTATTTCCCCATGTTTATCCCTCCTCTGTTCCTCAGATGTTCTTGTCAACTGTTGGAAATGGCCCACCTTGATTATCACTACAAAAGGTGTCCCCCCGCCCCTCCCGCTCTCCTGCTGGTAATAGCTCGCCTTAACTGATCACTCTCCTTACAGTGTGTATGGTAACACCCATTGTTTCATATTCTCTGTATATAAATCTCCCCACTGTATTTTCCACTGAATGCATCCGATGAAGTGAGCTGTAGCTCACGAAAGCTTATGCTCAAATAAATTCGTTAGTCTCTAAGGTGCCACAAGTCCTCCTTTTCTTTTTGCGGATACAGACTAACACGGCTGCTACTCTGAAACCTACAAATTTATATTTACCATAGAGCAATGGTTCTCAAACTTATTTGATTGTGCCCCATTTCTTTGTGTCTGTAGTAGTTTACAGCCCCCTCCCCCGCCCAAACACATACACCGATAAAAAATAATCAACATGCAACTCTCACTAAACATTTGAAAACAGTAAGGTATTTAGTCAAACAGAGCCAGTGATCCATTGTAATAAGAGCAAAAGCAAAACTGTGATTGTGGTCGATGCTTACAATTAAATGTGCACACCATGTTGTAGCAAACAGATTAATGTACAGATGGCAGTGATTTTGTATAATACTATGCAAATTTAACAGAAATCTGTCAAAATGCACAGAACCATCTAGAGTCAAATGCACAGCACCACCTGAGGACCTGATAAGTCTGGAGGAAATTAGCTTTGCTAACTATTAATTACTGTGGGTAAAATGTGCTCAGTAGCTCCTCCCCCCTCCAAGCTTCTCATGCCCCCCAGAATACATTCTGCGTACACACACCCGGGAGAGGTGCCCCTGAGTTTGAGAACCTCTGCCATAGAGTAATGTTTTTTGTTTCCTTTTTTCGCTGAGGGCTGTAATAAGTGACCCAGAGCAAAGTACAAATATCGGTACTTACCAGAGAGATCGGACGTTTGCAGATCTTGGGACAGCACCATTGCGCTTTAGAAAAAGAACATTACATGAAACAAAGTAAGGGTTTTTTTGTTTTTTTGTGGTGGTGGTTTGGGATTTTTTTGAGCTACAGGCTTATAGCCCTAATTTCAACCAGTCGTAACTTTAGCAAAACCTGTTCCTTTCAGGCTGAAACTTTTCGTGCTTGGTCTGTCTTGTTTTCTTTCTCTTTTTTTCTTTTGCAGAGTGTAGTAAAGTTTGTTCCATCCAGTTTTAGAGGTGCAAAAACAAGATCAGTGAGTTCTTTGAGTACTGCCTGTATGATCTTCATTATGGGTACTTTGTATGCCTGGGATAAAAAAGGTTGGAACTTTCTAGATAGCAGTGTCTGTGTTTCACACACATCTTACATGTGTCCTCGTGCTCAAAAGGGTGCACAGCTCCAACTTTTCATTTACTTCTGACTGCTGTAGGAAGTGAGCAGGAGCTCAATGCTAGCCCCATCAGCCCCACTTCATGGAAAGGTTGGGATTTTTACTTATATATGTAGTCTTGGAGGTATGATATTTAGCATTAGTTATTGCTACACTTTGATAGGTTTTTTTCTTTTTGAGTCTCTTTAGTTGGTTTTGGTTTTAGGCCTCCATTAAGCCTTCCTCATGCCATTTTATGTATTTTATCCATTACTATGGCTGAATCCAACAGCTTCAAGCCATGCCTTCCTGCAGTGGCACTGTGACTGTCACAGATAAATGTGCTTTTTCTGCCTCAGGGAATGTTGTTTTCCTGATGATTCTTTGAGTGTAAAGATTTACCAAAAGCACATGTAGAATGTGGAAGAACCATCTTAAACTTATGTGGGTATTGTCCCACAGTACAGATCTTCTAGAGCAGAGTTTCCAAAGCTTTTAAAAGCTGGACAGCTGCCCTCTCGTCCTCCCAGGCAACTGTGCAGGCTTTTAACAATCCATGGCACCTCTTAATTTACACATCTTTGTGTGTCCCCTCTCCCCTACACCCAACACACTTCAGCACTTCAGGAGGTGCTGATGTACATAGTTCCTCTCTATCCTTACATTTTTGATGACCAGTGAAATAGTTGACATTTAAAATATTGTCACTGCTATCTGAGTTAACACCAATTGAAATGGATGGGGCAGTCCACATTGCAGAGCTATTGTTTTAGGCTCTCTGCAAATGTAGGCAGATATTTCTGCATCAGTTGCATTCAAGTACTCAATATAATTGTAAGAGACTTACTTGCTTTTAAAAAAAAAATGAAAGGTGTGATTTGGGGAGCAATTTTAAAGTTTTGCTCCAGCCCCCCTCGGAAAGTCTCTGTGCTCCCCACAGGGTATGCCTCTACTTGAGTAAAATTGATCTAGAGAAATTGAAACTGATGTTGACTGGACATTCTGCTACTATGGTGATGAGAACAAATAAGTTCCTAACTATATAGAGAGGTTCTGGAGTTGTTCTACGTCAGGAATCAGCAGCCAAATGATTTCCATGCTGAAGAGCAGTTCAATAGTAAGGACTGATTTAAGTCACCCTTTCTGGTTCAGAGGCTGAGTGTTAAGCCATTCCCCAGGGGCTCTTCAATCTTAAACTTGCATATCCTGAAATCCAGCATTGTAAATCCACATTCAGCTCCAGTATTGAATGCCACTTCAATGTTGAGATAAAGTAGAAGGTTTGTTAAGTTCTTAAGGAACTATTTTTCTGAGTATTGCTTTTCCAGCATTGGTTTTCCTCAAGAGAGAACCAAGGAAAATGAAGAAAAAGAGTCAACAGATTTGTAACTCTTCTTAGCACATCTAAATAACTGTGATGGGATGTCCACCCCAGGTAGGTCTGACGGGGTTAAGGTGGCCAGTTAACTACCCAGGCTGCACCTGGAGGAAGAGCCAGGGTGCATAGAACTAAGTAATTGCAAGCAGGCCCACCTGTGCAGGAACAGGTGGGGCCTGTAAAGCCAGGTAGGGGGCTACAGATGACAGCTGCTGAGAAAGGGCAGTCACTCCCTGGGAAGAAGGAGGAATGCTTGGGAGCTGCTGGGCAAGGCTTCAGGAAGACAGGCAGCAGTCACTTTCTGGGAAGAAGGAGGAAGCTTTTGAGCTGGTACACCCAGAGAAAGAAGGGGAACCAGGGTGTAGGAAGCAGTCCAGGAGCAGTGAGGCCAGCGAGAGGGAGCCCAGAACTGCTGAGCTGACGGTCCCTGGACTGAAACCCGGAGAAGAGGGCAGACCCAGGTTCCCCTACCAGCTGCTGAGTGCGTGACATAGAACTGAGGCAGTGAATGAGAAGACTGCTTAAGACTGCTAATGGACTGTATCCTGGAATAGGGAATGCTGAGTGATCTAGCTGGAGGGCTAAGTCACAAAGGAGGTGCTGTGGGTCCTGGAGCGAGAGGAGCTGCAGACCAGAGTCAGAGTCACAGCGTACAAACTGTGGGCTGTGGCTTTGTCCTCCAGAGCTAATCACCAGAGTGACCAGGAGGAGGCACCAGATCTGCATTGAGTGGAGCACCCCGTGACAGTAACATTGACCCCAAAGATATCCAAACTTGCTCTCCCTGAATTCCAGCTTTTTCATCTGCTTTATGACTCAACTGGGAAGGGTAACCTGGATCAACTCATAACTAGGTTACCACAATCCAGGTTTATTGGTAGTTCTAGAAATGGTTGATATTTAATGCAAAATTTTACATTTTTGGAATATATCTGTTGATAAATGTCTTGAATTCTTTTAACAGAATAAGGACCAGATCGGCATTAACTGAAAATGTGCTTTCTAATAAGTTACGCTTTGATGGCAGAATTCTATCAAGGTAATCATAAATGTTCTAGAACTCCTTTTTAAATCTGTGAGTAATGAACTATTTTCTTTTGCATATTGGAATAATTGCAATACATTACACATCTGGTGAGAAGTATGTGCTTATAATAGGTACATCAGAGTCCTGCATGGATCTAGTATAGAGACTTGCAGCGAGACTGGGATCTCGCAGGTCCCACAGAACCCGCTGCCATAATAGCAGGAGTGGGTGGGAGCGAGATTAAAAATAGTCCCATGCAGGGCTCTATTGTACATTACACAGATATGTGTAATTTTAATTTTCTTAAGGGGCTGTTATATGCTGACATAGTTTAGAACAGCCCTGAGGCTCATTTGACCCAAGAATCAGGGTTATATAAAGGACTCCTTTCAGATGTCTTTTGCTGCAGCCAGTGCTTTCAGGATGCAGCTGAGCATTCAGCCATTTGTTTCAGAGATCATGATGAACATAGCTGGTCCTAATACATGTAATCTGTCGGTTGAGTTGTGAAAACGCTGTCTGCATGTGCTGCACACCTGATTATGGAAGGCATTTTAGACAAATAGCCTAAAGTTGAATTTAGATACTGGAACCACATGCTAGATTGAACAATATTTCAAATTAAGCTAAAGCAATCAAAACCAGTAATATTCTTAAAATAATGATTATAATAATATTGTAGGGCATTTGCCATTGAACTGCTGCTGAAGATGTATATTTCAAAATAGTGATATAGTCATCCCATTTCAGTTTGAAATAGATTACATTAAACACAAAACTCTAATGCTGCTTTTCAATTACCATTGTAGGAACGGGCGTGATGCTTGCAGAGAGCTGATTGGATTCTTTTTTATGTATGACACATCTCTTACTGTATATGAATATCGACAATTTGGAAAAAATAGGTAGGTTAAATAAATGTTAAAAATTCTCAAGAAAAAATTCTCCAGAATATATCCAGAGGAATTTACTTTCAAGTTTAATTATTTAAACTTATTTTAAATCATCTCACAGAACAAATGCCCTACCTTTCATTCAGAAAGGAGTTTATAGTCATCAGCATGGACAAAGAAAAGGACAACAATATGATCTTAGTGACTTTTATGTTGTAAGTATTTTTCTGTTGAAAATATATCAACTCTGCTGATGATTTGGAAATGCCACTTAGGTTGTTTGAATTCTGGCCTGAAGCAGGGACTCTAATCTAGCATTCAAGAGACTGATGCAAAGTATGCTGCAGTCAGTGGAAGTCTTTCCACTAACTTCAGCTTGCTTTGGTTGAGGCCCTAAGTCTTAAGGAGTCTGCACTAGAGGTGGTCAGGAATTTTCGACTAACTTATTTTTTGTTGGAAAATGCCAATTTGTCACAACCAAAACTTTTTGTGGAAACATGTCAATTTCAATGAAAGTTTATTTGAATCTGATTTCTCAGGTTAGGATGGAATGTTCAGAGAGAGCGACCCCCAGAATAGCCAGTAGCTCAATGGTTAGGGCACTCAGCTGTGCTGTGGGAGACTCAGGTTTAGGTCTCTGCTCCAAATCAGGCAGAGCAGGGGCTTGAACCGGGGTTTCGCATATCCCAGATGAGAGCTCTAACCAATGGGCTGCTATTCTGCGATGGATGCTCTTTTTTTTTTTTTTTTTTTTTGCCTAAAATTGTGAAAGCTTTTTGTATTTCGTATTGTGAAACAGCAAATGCATTGAAATCTTAGATTTTTAGAGGATGGGAAAACCCTTTCCTGCCCAGTTCTAGTGTGAACCATTGTTCTATATAAAAGCATCCACTCTCTGCCAAGTACTAGAGATGTCAGTGGTAGTCTCAAAACAGGCTGCGTGTTCTACTTTTTTCCACCAGCGGGCACAAAGCCGCAGCTGGGAAGGGGTTTGTAAACATATTGTTGTTACAAAAGTGCATAACTGTGGAAGGGGAGAGAGCCCTGATGGCCAAGTAGAACAAAGTTGTGAGTTAGATCACTAGGTATGTGGCAGATATGCAGATTCTGATGGGAATTCATGTTCATTCCATATAAGTACAGCTGCTAGCATAGAATTTGACTTACTGATTCTCTAACTTTTAAAATCTCATGTTTTGTGTTTTCAGTACTGAACTAGAAATGTGCCATATTCTAATTGTGTCCTAAAATAGCATTTTTTCCTGTTAAAATTTTAAAAATTCTAGTTCTTCATGAATGTCCGGTATAGTATGTTTTATAGAATATACAACTTGCTTATATATCATTCATTTATTATCACATACAGGGTGCTAACCTGACTTTTCTGAGTTGCAATCTTAGCCTTCCAGAAAGTATTAAACAGAACCCAATACTTACCCTTCGTGTCACAAATATTGATGAAGCTGCAATGGACATTCTAAAGTAAGTGCAAAAGACTAGCTTTTCTGATTAGTTTTCCTTTTTTGCAAATATCTTCCCAAATGAAGAATTTATATACAAGCTTTAAACAAATACAATTTATTGACTCTTCTAAAAGTTTCTGCATTTAGGCTCTGATTAGGAAGAACTAGACATCTGAATGAATGGTTTTGAAGTAATGTACAAAGGAGCCTTTAACTGTTGTAAAATAAAAGATTTACATTCCTTAAAGGTCTTATTCTCTGCATTTTGGTGCTGAACTTGAACTTAAAGACAAACTATCTAGATAGAAATCATATTAAAACCTTTCTGATGGTAACATCTTAGATTACTTAATTTGAAAGAATAAACCTTCTGCTTGGAGCACATCCCTCGGCCCACACCGCTTCCTGCAGCTCCCGTTGGCCTGGAGTGGCGAACTGGGACCAGTGGGAGCTGCAATCAGCCGAACCTGCAGATGCGGCAGGTAAACAAACCAGCACAGTCCGCCAGGGGGCTTACCTTGGTGGGCCACGTGCCAAAGGTTGCCGATCCCTGGAATAAGTTGTAACTGGTGCACTTCCCTAACGATAAGACACCTTTTACAGTGCCAAGTTGAGAAACCTGAAAGCCAGAGAATGTAATCTCTCTCTAGTCCTTGCATCTGACGAAGTGGTTATACACCCACGAAAGCTTATGCTTCAATACATCTGTTAATCTATAAGGTGCTACAGGACTCTTCGCCGCTTTTACAGATCCAGACTAACACGGCTACCGCTCTGATAATCTCTAGTCCCTGTCATCTTAGTCAATGCAGACTAATAAAGGTTTGACTATCTTGGCTAGATTTGGCCCTTCGCTGACTTCACCAGCATGGCTGAATGTGGCAAAGAATGACTAAGAATATCACTTAGAGGATTTTATTTTTTTTGCCACTGAGTCACTGACTTTGGAGTGTACCTAATGAGCGAGTGACTTTTCTGGTTTAGAAGATAACTTGAATAAACATCTGTAACTTTTTCATAATGAAATGTGAGTAGTCTTAATGCATTTCACTAAGAACGTAGGGCCTGGTTGTGTCCCTAAGAGAAACTTTGTACATGGATCTTTCCCCTTAGCCACAGAAAGGAGATTCAGCCGTCTGGGCAACAGCATTTCCTCATCCCAAGGAGGTGCTGCTGCAGGAGGGTGGGCTGTGGATGTGTGGTAGGACTCCTCCTTTCTCTATTTGTTTCCTCTCTTCCCTATGCCCAGTGAAATCCAGGATGGAAATGTGATATAGTATATTTCTACAGTGGAAAACCTCTCTTGAAGGGGAATTCCTACATTTATTCTTTCAAAATAGGCTTTGATAAATTCACTTGTTTCATGCATTAAAATAAGGGAACTTTTAAAAAACTTATGTCACCTTTGTAACAGCTAGATGAATGGGTAATCATTGAATGTACATTATTTTTGTAAATCAGACTCTCAGCTGAATCTCTCTGCAAAAGTAAACTGTCATGTACATTTAATTCCTTCCTTTGGGTTTCTGGATTTCATTGTCAATACAGTAGTTCTTGCTACAAATAATTTTGTTTGAAGATTGATTCCATTACTGTGTGGTCTGAACCATTCTAATTCTATTAAGTGATTTTAAGATGTACTTTCATGGAATTTGTTGACTCAAATTATGGTGAGGAGTCAATGTTAGCCTATAATATATATTTAAAGATTTAAATCATCCTGTCCTATAAAAACAATAATGATGTCACGATTAAGACAGTCATTGGGTATCTAAAGACTTTATTAGAACAACTTAATTGACTATTGCTACAAATTTCATGTTGTCTATTGAAATGCCTAGCTATATAAAACCTGTTTTCAATTATAGTAATACACACTTTATGGCCCCATTGCACTGCCATGGTGTAAAGGGGCCATGCCATAAATGAGAAGCAGGCCCCTAAAATTTATAACTTATCTGCATATTGTAGTGTCCAGTAATATATATCAATATGATATTTACAGCTATTTTTCCCTTCTAATTATGGCAAGGTTTTCACAAAATGGAGGACAAGAGTTTAACTGTTGATAATGCATGTAAGGCGTTTTGCCTCTCATGAATATATTCGTTCTGCTGCACAGCTTCTCTCCTCATTCATCACTAATAGTAATACTTCCCACCTTCGGAATTCAGAAATGGTCTATGTTGTTCTGAAGACTTCAGGACTGAGTCTTGCCCTTCAGCTCAGGCCACTGAATTTTCTGCCTCAAGTGGCAAAGCAAGTTGGTGGTTCAGTTTCTCTCAACCATTTTGTTTTATAACTTTAAATTTTATATGATTTTTGTGCAGTAGTTACTTCATTTCAGTTTCTTTTTTTTCCCTTTTCTGAGGTGAGGAATTACTGGAGTATTGAGGCTTTAACCCCCCCCCCCCAGCTTCTCTGGTACAACACCTCTTAAATGGCTTCCCTGTCTCTCCCACTGTGGCAGCAGAGTGCAAGCATTAAGCCAAGACCAAGAGGCGCTATAGGCAGTTTTTTAGGGGAGATATACCCCGCTGCCATAAGTCACTGACCCTCATACTGCCAGGGCATGGGGGCTTTTTTGTTGGATAAGTATGTAGGGCCTTGACTTCTACCCAAAACGGTGAGGCCTTGTCTACACTACCATGTTTTGTCACCAAAAGTGCCGTTTGTCAACCCAAACAGTGAGTGAGTACACACTGCGTTGCAACTTTTGCTGGGGAGAATGCCTGGTTTTTGGTGACAAAATACAGCCACCCCCACAAGAGATTTACATCTTTCTGTCCACATTGTCCACATTGTCGAGAAAGTACAAGTGTAGACACCACGCTTCATTTCATCGCTTTAATTGGCCTCCAGGAGATGTCCCACAATGCCCATCCTGACCGCTCTTGTCAGCAATTTGAACTCCACTGCCCTGCAGCCAGATAAATAACCATCCTCCCCTCCCCCTTAAAAGCCCCAGGAATTTTTGAAATTCCATTTCCTGTTTGCTCGGCGTGGAGAGGTCTCATCACACATTCCCAGGTGACCATGGCGGGTTATCGCAGCAAATGCTCTCCCGCTTGGACCACTGCAGAGCTGTTGGATCTGATCAGTATATGGGGAGAGTCCCAGCTGTGCCTGAGCTGCAGGAATTGGGATATCTACGGGCAGATTTCTCAAGGATTGTGTGAAAACGGCTATGATGGGGACATGCTGCAGTGCAGAGTGAAGATAAAGGAGCTGAGGCAGGCATACCATAAGGCGAGGGAGGCAAACCATTGCTCAGGTGTGTCACCTAAGATCTGGCAGTTCTATAAGGAGCTGAATGCTATCCTCAGTGGCGACCCCACCTCCATTGCCAAGAGCCCCATGGATACTTCGGAGGGCACGGAGGCGGCAGAAAGAGGACCAAACCCGGAGGACGAAGTTATTGATGGAGATGCAGCATTAGATTAGGATGTGCAGCTCCCGGCAGGGTCGCCCAGTGGGGCAGGCAGCCAGGAACTGTTCTCCACTCCCAAGGTGTCTAGCCTGTCTCAGCAGTCACTCTCCGATTAGCAAGAAGCAGGAGATGAGACTCCTGGTAAGTGTCTGGGACTTGTGTAGTGTGGAGGTGGGTTCAGGGCATAGAAATGTGTGAGGCTGGCTGTGTTTCTATGAGCTGGACATTTCCCTGTGTAGCTAATCAGTGTGGCAGAACTGGGTGTTGATGCACGCCGAGATCTCACAGGAATCCTCCAGAGCGATCTCCAGGAAAGTTTCCTGGAGGTACTCGGCAAACCTCTGCCAAAGGATCCATGGCAGAGCAGCTTTGTTCCTTCCCCCATTGAAGGAAACTTTCCCATGCCATTCAGCAATCGCTTGTGCGGGGACCAAAGCAGCACATAGGCGAGCAGCATAGGGAGCAGGGCGGAAGCCACAAGCATGGAGTAGATGTACCCTCGTTTTCCTTACCCTTAACAGTGAGATGTCTGCTAGAATTACCCCTGCCTGTGGAAAAGTGTGGGAGAATTTTAGAATTTGTTCCCTAGACCCTTGCAAAGTGTGTGCTCTTTTCCCCAGGTTGAGCGCCCTCCACCCCCTCCCACCAAAACTCACCAAGCTTTGGGTGTTTGCAGAGATGTGTGCCTGGCTAGGGTCAGTGAGAAAGTGATGGCAGTGTTGCAAAAGGTGTATTTAACTGAAATGTTTCAATGCTGAATTTAACAATCCCGCTTCTGTTCTTCACCAGATGTGGCCTTCAGAAATACCCCCCACACACCAGCTGAGCATGTCTTCCAGATAAGAAAACATCCAAGACGCAGCAAAGAAGACATGTTCTGGGAGGTCCTGCGGTGCTCCAACAGCTATATCCTAAGCACCATCAGAGCGGGTTATGCCATCCAGCTGCTCTCCACCCTCCCTCTCTGTCCCTCTTCAATGACCCCTCTCATGTGGTACTGCTCCTCAAGCAGGTCTGCTCTGTGCTGACAGTGGATGAGGGTCCGCCAGAATTCCTGGTACTTCCCAATACCCAAATCCAAGGGAGGAGTAAGATCCATCCTCAGCCTTAGTGGACTCAACAAATATATCCAGTACATGAGGTTCTGAATGGTCATTCCATCAATTATCCTCCCTGCATTGTCTCAGAATCACTTGTTTGCTGCTCTGACCCTTCAGGACACCTACTTTCACCTGGCGATTTTACCAAGCCACAGAAAGTTCCTTTGGTTCGTCGTGGCGGAATGCCACTTTTAGTACACAGTGCTTCTGTGACAAATAAAGTGTGTGTGTGGAGGGGGATAGTTCCCTTTGATGGATGCCCAGCCAGCCAGTTAGCTGTAAAATCCCTCTTGGTAGCTGTTCTTTACTTGCTTTATCTGTAAAGGGTTAAAAAGTCCCCCAGAAAAAGAAAAGAAAAGAAAAAAAAGTGGACACCTGACCAAAAGAGCCAATGGGAAGGTAGAATTTTTTAGAATTTGGAAAGAAACTTTCCCATTGTCTGTTGTTCTCTGGGCTGGAGGGACAGAGCAGCCATGCTATAAGCAACTTAAGCCAGGTATGATCATAAATCATCCGATCATGCTTAGAACTATTTATCTGAACTCCAAATGTGTAAGTAGATCAGAATGTTTGGCTAGATGCGATTAGGGTTATTTCTTTTATTTCTTATTGGCTTGTGGACTCCTCTATGCTAATCCCAGATGCTTTTGTTTGCTTGTAACCTTTAAGCTACCCCCCAAGAAAGCTATTTTGGGTGCTTGATTTTTGGAATTGCTATTTTAAAATCTAACAAGCATAAGTTCCAGATGTATTTTCTTCCCTTTTGTTTTTAATAAAATTTACCTTTTTTAAGAACAGGATTGGATTTTTGGTGTCCTAAGAGATTTGTGCATGTTGTTTGATTAGCTGGTAGCCACAGTTAATTTCCTTTGTTTTCTTTCTCAGCTCTTTCCCAGAGGGGTGGTGGTGAAAGGATTTGAGAGTACCCCACAGGGAGGAATTCTCAAGTGCTCCTTCCTGGTTTTAAAGGTGTTTTTTTGCATTTGGGTGGTGGCAGCCAAGGTCAGAGAAAAGCTGTAAGAAAAACTTGGGAGTTTAATACAAGCCTGGAGTGGCACATATTAATTTTTAAAATCCTTGCGGGCCCCACTTCTGCACTCGGAGTGACAGAGTTGGGATTCAGCCTTGAGAGCTTCCATTCGGCCCCTCTTCTTCCCCCTGTGGTTTTACCAAATGCATGGTCATTGGTACAGCGTATCTCAGGAAGGGGCTTTACATTTTCCTGTATCTGGCTGACTGGATACTGAGGGGCAGATCCAGAGAGCAAGTTCTTGCTCAAATTAGCACCACACTGCACTTACTCGACTGTCTGGGTCTCATCTAAACACCGGAAAGTCAATCTTGGCTTCCACTCAAAAAATAGAGTTCACTGGGACTCTGTTAGATTCCATGCTGTCAAGAACATTCCTGCTGACTGACCATTTTCAGACAATTAGCCATCTTTGCCTCAGTCTGCAATCTCAGCCTTCCGTGACAGTTTGAATGTGTCTGCAACACATACAGGTGGTCCAGTTTGCAAAGTTGTGCCTTCACCCCCTTCCATTGCACCTGCAGAAAACACAGGTTTCTTGAAGCAAGGACTTCTCCTTCATATGGATCTGGACAATCTACATTAACAGCTTGGGCATCAGAAAAGATGTGTAGTTCAGTGGGATTTCTCGCATTAGTCTCATCAGTACTTTTTGGTATCCAGACAGAACTCAACGAGGAAATTTCATTAATTGATCTGGTCAAATTATGTTTCTGGTGTGAGGGGAAACAGAAAACTCTTTGCGGCAGGGACTGGCTCTTTATTTGTACAATGCCCAACACAATGGGGCCCTGGTGTCCATATACTACCATAATACAAGTTATAATGATAACCACAAAATTCTGGTGATCTCAGCCACACTGGAGTTTCTCCAGGATGGTTGATTAGAGTCCTTCAACCATAGAAAAGTAGGTAATAGTTCTAGCATAGTTCTTCAGGTGGGCTCCCCATTTGAGTATCATCAGGTGTTTAATCATAGAATCATAGAATACCAGGGTTGGAAGGGACCTCAGGAGGTCATCTAGTCCAACCCCCCTGCTCAAAGCAGGACCAATCCCCAATTAAATCATCCCAGCCAGGGCTTTGTCAAGCCTGACCTTAAAAACTTCTAAGGAAGGAGATTCCACCACCTCCCTAGGTAACGCATTCCAGTGTTTCACCACCCTTTTTTTAGTGAAAAAGTTTTTCCTAATATCCAACCTAAACCTCCCCCACTGCAACTTGAGACCATTACTCCTTGTCCTGTCCTCTTCTACCACTGAGAATAGTCTAGAGCCATCCTCTCTGGAACCACCTCTCAGGTAGTTGAAAGCAGCTATCAAATCCCCCCTCATTCTTCTCTTCTGCAGACTAAACAATCCCAGTTTCCTCAGCCTCTCCTCATAAGTCATGTGTTCCAGACCCCTAATCATTTTTGTTGCCCTTCGCTGGACTCTCTCCAATTTATCCACATCCTTCTTGTAGTGTGGGGCCCAAAACTGGACACAGTACTCCAGATGAGGCCTCACCAATGTCGAATAGAGGGGGACGATCACGTCCCTCGATCTGCTCGCTATGCCCCTACATATACATCCCAAAATGCCATTGGCCTTCTTGGCAACAAGGGCACACTGCTGACTCATATCCAGCTTCTCGTCCACTGTCACCCCTAGGTCCTTTTCCGCAGAACTGCTGCCTAGCCATTCGGTCCCTAGTCTGTAGCTCTGCATTGGGTTCTTCCGTCCTAAGTGCAGGACCCTGCATTTATCCTTATTGAACCTCATCAGATTTCTTTTGGCCCAATCCTCCAATTTGTCTAGGTCCCTCTGTATCCTATCCCTGCCCTCCAGCATATCTACCACTCCTCCCAGTTTAGTATCATCCGCAAATTTGCTGAGAGTGCAATCCACACCATCCTCCAGATCATTTATGAAGATATTGAACAAAACCGGCCCCAGGACCGACCCCTGGGGCACTCCACTTGACACCGGCTGCCAACTAGACATGGAGCCATTGATCACTACCCGTTGAGCCCGTCAATCTAGCCAACTTTCTACCCACCTTATAGTGCCTTCATCCAGCCCATACTTTAACTTGCTGACAAGAATACTGTGGGAGACATTGTCAAAAGCTTTGCTAAAGTCAAGAAACAATACATCCACTGCTTTCCCTTCATCCACAGAACCAGTAATCTCATCATAGAAGGCGATTAGATTAGTCAGGCATGACCTTCCCTTGGTGAATCCATGCTGACTATTCCTGATCACTTTCCTCTCATGTAAGTGCTTCAGGATTGATTCTTTGAGGACCTGCTCCATGATTTTTCCAGGGACTGAGGTGAGGCTGACTGGCCTGTAGTTCCCAGGATCATCCTCCTTCCCTTTTTTAAAGATTGGCACTACATTAGCCTTTTTCCAGTCATCCGGGACTTCCCCCGTTCGCCACGAGTTTTCAAAGATAATGGCCAATGGCTCTGCAATCACAGCCGCCAATTCCTTTAGCACTCTCGGATGCAACTCCTCCGGCCCCATGGACTTGTGCACGTCCAGCTTTTCTAAATAGTCCCTAACCACCTCTATCTCCACAGAGGGCTGGCCATCTATTCCCCATGTTGTTATGCCCAGTGCAGCAGTCTGGGAGCTGACCTTGTTAGTGAAAACAGAGGCAAAAAAAGCATTGAGTACATTAGCTTTTTCCACATCCTCTGTCACTGGGTTGCCTCCCTCATTCAGTAAGGGGCCCACACTTTCCTTGGCTTTCTTCTTGTTGCCAACATACCTGAAGAAACCCTTCTTGTTACTCTTGACATCTCTCGCTAGCTGTAGCTCCAGGTGCGATTTGGCCCTCCTGATTTCATTCCTACATGCCTGAGCAATATTTTTATACTCTTCCCTGGTCATATGTCCAACCTTCCACTTCTTGTGAGCTTCTTTTTTATGTTTAAGATCCCCTAGGATTTCACCGTTAAGCCAAGCTGGTCGCCTGCCATATTTACTATTCTTTCGACACATCGGGATGGTTTGTCCCTGTAACCTCAACAGGGATTCCTTGAAATACAGCCAGCTCTCCTGGACTCTTTCCCCCTTCATGTTAGTCGCCCAGGGGATCCTACCCATCCGTTCCCTGCGGGAGTCGAAGTCTGCTTTCCTGAAGTCCAGGGTCCGTATCCTGCTGCTTACCTTTCTTCCCTGTGTCAGGATCCTGAACTCAACCAACTCATGGTCACTGCCTCCCAGATTCCCATCCACTTTTGCTTCCCCTACTAATTCTTCCTGGTTTGTGAGCAGCAGGTCAAGAAAAGCTCCCCCCCCTAGTTGGCTCCTCTAGCACTTGCACCAGGAAATTGTCCCCTACGCTTTCCAAAAACTTCCTGGATTGTCTATGCACCGCTGTATTGCTCTCCCAGCAGATATCAGGAAAATTAAAGTCACCCATGAGAACCAGGGCGTGCGATCTAGTAGCTTCTGCGAGCTGCCGGAAGAAAGCCTCATCCACCTCATCCCCCTGGTCCGGTGGTCTATAGCAGACTCCCACCACTACATCACTCTCACTGCTCACACTTCTAAACTTAATCCAGAGACACTCAGGTTTTTCTGCAGTTTCGTACCGGAGCTCTGAGCAGTCATACTGCTCCCTTACATACAGTGCTACTCCCCCACCTTTTTCTGCCCTGCCTGTCCTTCCTGAACAGTTTATAACCATCCAACCATCTGTCATTCTGACTAATCTTGACAGGTCTGTGGCAGGACTTTCTAGTTGCCATTAGGTCCAAAAGACTGAGTTTGGAATTAGTTCCTCTGTCCATTCAAGAACAACTCGACTGTTGTTGTAGGAAAAGTTTGTTCTTTTAGCTCCGGAAGCCTTTCTGTTCAGAGTGAATTCTTCTTTCCACAATTTCTGTGAAATGATTCCTCCATCATTTTGTTGCAGTGTTTAGCACCTCTGAATGTTGAAGCATAAATGGGCATTAGGGTTACAGGGCTAACTGCACTTCTGGTCCCTTGATTTGTCTTTGTGAGCTCACTCTCTAGAGCCTTTACCCACTCCAGGGTGGAATTTTGCAATTCTCCTACTTTTAGTCAGGTTTGGGCTATGGCACCCTGTGTATCAACTGTTGTTACCCTACAACTCCAAGTGAGTTCGGGAGACTGCAGCCAGAAGTAAATAGTGACCACACAGACTTCTTAAAATAAATGTATTGTTTATTTAGCAGTAGAAACAAAGCACTGAAGGAAAAAAGGTTTTAAAGCAGCATACACATATCAATCTTGCCATTTGCTGATGGTAACCAAGGGAGACATAACTTCAGACACCCATGGCTGGTTCCTGTGTCTGCTAGATTCCCCTGAACAGCTGCCAGCTTTTTCTTGAGAGGCTGCTCCTTTAAATCCTGCCAGAGTTTTTTGTTCTGTGTTAGATGGGTCCTTGGTTGTTCCTAGTCAGAACCAAGGTTCTGTAGGTTCGCTGGAGACAGAGATAGTCAATTCTAATATAATCAAAGTGAACAGTTCTGGCATTGGCCCTTAACGACTCTAACCTGTCAGTTGATGGGTGGATTGCTGTCAGGAGCCATCTCCTCCTTCTAGACTGACCCCCCAAGTGCATTAAACCAGTATAGTCATACAGAAAACATATTGCAGTAACCAGGCCTACATATAGTATCAAATTATTACAGGGCACCTCCAAATCAGTCAGATTACAGATCCCAGTTGTTCCTATTTTATCCAAGATAGAGGCCAAGGGCCTCAAAGTTGTTGCAGGCAAGATGTTAAAATCCTGCACCTGGGGGAAACTATGAAGGGGAGTCAGGACTCCCTCAACAAGGTCTATTGTGGCATTATGGAGAAAAGTGTATGAGAGTTGTCAGAGGAAGATTTGCAAAGTAGGGTTCCATTCCACTGCAGAATGGTAGGAAGATGTTGCTGGGTTTATTCCAAAATAATTCCTTAAATGACAAAACTCTTGCTCTGTTTGGAGGGTCTTCTATTTCTGCTAATTATTTGACTCTGATAATATTTAAAATTCTGCTTATCCTGTGCCTCCTATTTCTGTGATTCATTGCTCACTGCTTCCCATTAGTGGTGAATGAGGAGAGAAGCTGTTCAGCAGAGTGAGAAATTTCTTGCCAGATAATTTTCTTTCTGTTAGCAGCTTCTCTTCTTATTCAGTCCGCCCTACCAGTCTGGTAAATGACTGTAACACAATTTGTTGTAACAAATTGAAAATTTTCTCTAAATGGAGACCTAGATGTATAATTACCTTAAGGTTATTTATATAGTCTATCAGTTTGTCATCTTAATGCTAATAATTGGTTGCTGGAGTATTTCTACAGCTTTGGGAAAACTCATCTGGTGGCCTAAACTAAAGAGAGGGGCTTAGTACTGGAGCCTCCAGCAACACCATGGCTGCTGAATTCCACAGGTGAGAAGTGTTTCTTATTAGTGATGAATGAGAGAAACTGCTAACAGAAGATTATCAGATAAGAAATTTCTCATTCCTACTGCTATCGCACAAGAACATTTTGTATGCGAGTGTATATTAAAGTTCAGGCACTCAATGTGCTGATGAGTGATATAAGAAAAATGGTATTTTTTTCTGTTCAGAATATTTTTGGTCGCAATCTTTTTGTTTTGGTAATATAGTTAACTTTATCATTATGAACTGATTAATTTTAGAACTACTTCTGTGGGAATCAAGCAAGACATTACCCAGCAAGAGATTGATGAGAGCAGAGTTTTCAAAGTTGTTCAAGGTTTGTATACTTAACACAACTATGTTTAATTTTTTGTTAGTGTCTTTGCTACTCATCTAAAAGAGCACTAACAAAGTTTTAAATAATTTCTTTTTTAAAGAAATAGACACATGCAAGATATTTGTTAGTACAATAATTATTACTACTGGCAACAGAGAAAAGGAATATATGTCTTTCACTTTCTGTTTTAGTGTATGTGTGTTCTTTGAGAATTTTCATTTTTTTTTGACAAAGGAAAAGCCCAGCACAAGCTCATGTGTAGATTAGTTACAAATGTAATGTGTAAAATGTTGCTTTCAGTCATGACATCACATACAAAATAAATGTTAAGAACCCCATTCATGTGACATTGAATTTTAATATATTTTGTCCATTTGTCTCTGATACAGCATTGAGAAAATAGCTTTATGTTGGATAGCTCTTTTGGTGTATTCTTAATACACTGGATGTGTTCTAGATTTCCATACATATTAAATATTTTGCTTACAAATAAAGATGTCAGTGCACATTTATTTGTGTTCACTGGAAGATTTAATTCATCTGTACACTGCAATTGATAGACTTTCGGAGAGAAGACTTTGCTGTTTCAAATTAACATAATTCTCTTCAAACAGAATTAATTAATTAATGCAAAGTAGGAATCTTTAAGTTCACGCTGATGGGGTCCACATGGGGGATTTAGAGTGCAGCATTTTGGTGTGCACTGCTATTCACATCTCACATTCCAAACTGCAGGGCAGTGTTGAGAGCCCTTATACTTCAAAAACAAGAGAACTTGGATGCATGGATGTGCTGTTTAACAAGCAGTGTGGTAAGTGGGAGTTTTTTGGAAAAACACCTTCAAAACATCTTCATGTAAACATTGTTTCCTTTATTTCTCCTGATGCTTAGGTATACTTAAAGAGAAGCTAAGTAAAACGGGAGTTCGTGTTGTAACAGGATTAGGAAAATACTTTCGAGAACTGGATCGGAAGAGAGATGGCGCTTTCTCTAAGGCAGTCTTTAAACAAGCTCTAACAGTATTTCATTTAGAAGTGCCTGAAAAGGTAAGTCTTGATGCAACTGTAATCAAGAGTGTGATTCCAAAGCGATTGTCTTCTAAAAGTTTATGGAGTCGCTACTTGCCTTCATTTAAATCTGCAGTTTGATAACTATATTTGCTGCTTTTTTGTGTTTTTTGGTACTTCTGCTTTCAGTCCCATATGAAACACTTTTAAAAAAGTAACAGGCCTTATTTAAATATCATAAAGAAGCAGAAAGGGCACAACCCAATTTTGTTTCTTTTGCAGGTCTCCTTTAAAAGACTAACAATAAAAAAAAAATCCTGGGGCCTAATTGAGAGAGAGCTAGTATACTTCCAGTTGATAGGTAGGGTGGGAGAAACTTGCTTAAAAAAGGTTACTGACTGATTGGTAGCTTACGATTTCTGTATCCTTCACTGAAAGTTTCTTTATTGCAGTCTAGACTATTCCATGTATTAGATTGGGTGGTAGAGTCCCATTGCCAAAATAGATTACTCCTGAGGGAATTCTGAGCTACTGTGTCTGTGCATAATTAATGAGTCCTGCATATTTTTAATTTTTTGCGCAAAAAAAAGCGTCTGTGAAAATGTTGCTGGAGTTCTGCCTTTTTGCCCACCAAAGGGAGATGTGGTTCAAGAATAGCAGCAGCTCCCAGCAGAAAGTAACTTCTGCAGTTCCGCCTTTTGTCCACCAGTGGGCCCTGTGGTAATAGAACAAAGCAGCAGCTCCTCACCAGTGAGGGATGAGAAAGAGGCCCGCCTTCATTGCAGCGGGCCAGGTCAGGAGACCGGCTATGGGGAGACAGACAGTGTGGGGTACTGTGGGGGTCAGACAGAGGCTTATAAGGGATATGGAGGGAGGACAGACTGAGGCAGGGGCTGAATGTGAGTGGAGGCACAGTAGGGAGGGAGGCGCAGGGGCCACATGGTGATAGGGGAGGGGTGCAGAGCTACATAGGGACAAGGGGTGACTGAGTGGGGGACAGAGACACACGGGGACGGGGAAGGCAGACAGGGACACATAGGGACAGGGGGTGGCTGAGTGGGGGCACAGAGCCACATGGGGTTGGGGAGGGTGTGCAGGGCCATATGGGGATGGGCAGAGTGGGTGTCTGAGTGGGTATGAGGGGCACATGGACGGGGGGTGCAAGGACACATGGGGACAAAGGCAGATGTACCTGACTGAATGGGAGAGGCTGGGGTGAGCCAGGGTCTTCATGGGGGAAGCTCCCTAACAATCCCTCCCCTGCCCCTCCAACTTGTTCCATACTTTTTCCTACCCACACCCAACAGCCCTTCAAGTTCACACCAAGGCTCCTTCCCAGCGATTTACTTCCTTCTCCCTCAGCTCCTCCATTACCCCTGACTCCCCCAAGCTTTGCACCGCTTCTGAGGGGTGCGGGAAATACAGTTTTGTATTATAGTTTAAATGTATTATTACTCAGAGTTCTGTATGAATATGCCCAGTAAGGAGTCTATTTGTCAAAAAAAACATTTCGTGAATCTTTTTTGTTGTCTGTATTGTTACAGATGTACTTGCTGACAGGTATTTTGAAATAAATGACCAAAAATAATTGAAACTGTTGTGATTATATTGTGTTGTTTTTGACAAAATATAAAAATTTTTGCAGAATTTTAAAATATTGTGCACAGAATTTTTAATTTTTGTTGCATACTTTTTTTGGGGGGAAGGCACAGAATTCCCCTAGGAGTAATAAATGTTGACAAGCTGTTAGTTAAGGATCTCAGGAATTCTCTACTCTTACCATCCAAGAATGGCAGGGGTTAGTCATAGGTGGTGTCTCTGATTGCCATTAGTGCTCCCATGACTGTTGCTTGTGTTACTGTCCTGAATTCTTGGAAAGAGTATTGCTTCTATTGCTGCTCTTGGCTGGTTTTGTTGACGTTGAGGGGAGATGAATTTAAATGATCTTCTCTGTAAAATAAGATAATTTCTTGCAGCAGGAGGTGCTGGGTTCTGAGATTGAGTAAAGACAGTCTGGGTTTATCAAGTGGTTATTTAGTCCTGAAAAATTCTGTGGGGTGTGATTTTGCTGCATCTCTGCTACAGGAGAAGTGGGATTTATTTGCCTCCTAAATAGCAGTGGCATAGGTTTTAAAGCTTTTATGGGTTTTCAGTAAACTTTGGGAATTTCAGAGGGTTTGATATCCTCCTAGAGCGGGGTGAGCAAACTTTTTGGCCCAAAGGCCACATCTGGGTGGGGAAATTGCACCGGCCCTGCCTACATTCATGGCCCTATGTACAAGGATATTTTGTGCCCTAGGTGAAACTTACACCTTGCACCTTCCCCCACCCTGCACATGGGATTTGCCCCTCAATTAACCAAACAAGCCTTTATAGACCCCAGAGGCCAGCTGTGCCCAGGGGCTGTTCCCCAGACCAGGTTCCCCCCTCCCCACCTCCTCAATTCCCCTGGAGGGTGCACAGCTCCCTCACGAGCCCTCCCCTTCCCACCCCACCCCGGTGGCCCCCGCCCCAAGTCCACTCACTGGCTTTGCCGGGCTTGGGCCACTGTAGCAGCTCGGCAGGGAGGAGCCGCCTTCCAGAGGCACCGGAGAGCCAGAGCATCCTGCTTGCGGTGGTGGCGAGCCCCAGCCATGGAGGAGCTGGCGCGGCGCAGGGGGGCAGCAGTCCTGGAAAGGTGGCCGCGCCACTAGCGGGGAGCAGCCGCGCCCCCCCACCTCTCCTGCCCTGGCTGCGGCCTAGCACCCCCCCCCGCCCACCGGGGCTCCTGCAGGCTGCAGCGGATGCATGCGCCCCCCTCGCCTAGGATTACCATATTTCAACAATCAAAAAAGAGGACAGGGGAGAGCCCCGCCCCCATCCACTCCCTCCCACTTTCCACCCCCTGACTGCCCCCCTCAGAACCCCCCATCCCTGCTCCCTGTCCCCTGACTGTCCCAACCCCTGTCCACCCCCCCACCCCCAGACAGACCCCCGGGACTCCCACACCCCATCCAACCACTCCCCGCCCCCTGACAGGACCCCCAGAACTCCTGACCCATCTAACCCTCCCCCTGCTCCCTGACTGCCCCCCGGGACTCCCCTTACCATGCCCATGCCGGTCAGACGCTGGCTCCACGTGGAGGCAAAACACGCTGCTGCACACACAGCCCCTCCCCTGCAGAGTGCTGAGGCTCACACGCCCGGGAGCCGCAGAACCCAAGTGCGGTGAAGGGGGGGAGGCGGGGGGCGCATGGGGGCCAGCGCCCGCATGCATCTGCTGCAGCCTGCAGGAGCCCCCAGTGGTGGGGGGGTATTGGGCTGTAGCCTGGGCAGGAGGGGCCGGGGGGGGGGGCGCGGCTGCCTTTGCAGGGCTGCTGCCCCCCTGTGCTGCACTGGCTCCTCCATGGCTGGGGCTCACCACCCCCGCAAGCCAAAGCTCTGGCTCTCCGGTGCCTCCGGAAGGCGGCTCCTCCTTGCCGAGCCAGGGCACCGCTTTTTGGCCTCCCCAACCACTTGGCGCCCTAGGCAACTGCCTAGTTCACCTAGTGGTTGCACCGGCCCTGAATGTAGGGTTGGGGTGTGGGAGGTGGTGCGGTGTGCAGGAAGGGGCTCAGGGCAAGGGGTGTGAAGTGCAGGAAGAGGCTCAGGGCAGGGGGGTGGGGTGCAGGAGAGGTGTGGCAGGGGGCTCAAGGCAAGGGGTTAGGGGACTCAGGGCAGAGGGTTGAGGTGCGGGGTGCAGGAGGGGTTCAGGGTGCAGGCTCCAGCCTGGCGCCGCTTACCTTGAGCGGCTCTGGGGTGGTAGCAGTAGGCAGTGGGGCTAAGGCAGGCTCCCTGTCTGCCCTGTCCCCATGTCGCTCCTGGAAGTGGCCAGCATGTCCAGCAGTGGCTCCTGGGGATGGGGTGGGGCAGGTGGCTCTGCCGCGCACTGCCCTCACCTGCGGGTACCACCCCCGAAGCTCCCATTGGCCACGGTTCCCCATTCCCGGCCAATGGGAGCTGCAGGGAGCAGTGCCTGCAGGTGAGGGCAGCGCACAAAGCCCTCTGCTCCTCCCTCCCCCAGGAGCTGCAGGGACGTGGTGCCAGCCACTTCCAGGAGTGGTGGGGGGCCAAGGCAGGCAGGGAGCTGCACTGGCAATCCCACAGGCTGGATTGAAAGCCCTTACAGGCTGGATCCGGCCCACAGACTGTAGTTTGACCTCCCCTGTCCTAGAGGGTGGGATCAAGCCCTTAGTCCTTGCTTTAACTACCAATGGTCAGTCTGTCTTACATAATTGTTTGTATTTTAGTGAATGCAGTTGCAGTCTTTCCTTAATAATGTGATTCTCTTATTAATTTGTAATAGAGTCTATTATATATGGAGCTGACTAGCTTATGTTCAGACAGGTCTTGTAAGACGTAACTCTGGAAAGTCACTCTTTTTAAATTGCAGGATTTTGAGTCTTTGTGGCTTATTCTTGATGACAACTGTAATGATGAAGTTGATTATGGGGAGTTCACTCGCGCCATTATTGGGGAAATGAATGAGTATCGAAAAGCATTTGTTAGAAAAGTAAGTTCATTTTAATTATTCTAAATATGGATATAACAATATAAATGAGAAAAATCTGAAATTGTTGAATGCCTGTTTTTGGTCAATAATATATTACAGTTTTTGGGTATTTTTTAAGTTGTGTATCTGAAATTTAGGCATCTAAGAATGTCGTGCTCATTTGTTAAACTAATCTAAATGTAGATTTAAAGGGCTGCGTCTGCTTTGCTTGTGTGGAACTACTCAGTTTTGATTTCTGCAACTGGCACCAAAAAATTTCCATTATTTCATGAGTTATTAGTGTGCTCTCTGTACTTACCCACTCTTACAGTGCGGTCTAGTGGATAGGTCACTGGACTGGGACTCAGAAGAGCTACCTTTCATTCCCGGTTCTGCCATAATCCTGTTGGTTGATTTTGGGCAAGTCATGTCAGCTGTGTGCCTCAATTTCCCCTTCTGTCAAATGGGGATAATGACACTGACCTCTTTTATAAACCATTTGAGATCTACAATTGAAAAGCACAGTGTCAGCGCAAGATATCACTTTTATTTATTTAAAGTACCATTTTGTGAGATGATGCATGTATGAAAACCGGATAGATGAAGGGATTGGTAATGTAATTTGTGGAGCCTTTCATTTTCTAGGACCCTTGTTAGAATCCACCCCATATTGTAGTGACTGGAAGTTGTTAAATACTGAGAACAATGCTGTCAAGGTTCCTCCCCCACTCTGAACTCTAGGGTACAGATGTGGGGACCTGCATGAAAAACCTCCTAAGCTTATCTTTACCAGCTTAGGTCAAAACTTCCCCAAGGTACAAAATATTCCACCCGTTGTCCTTGGACTGGCCGCTACCACCACCAAACTAATACTGGTTACTGGGGAAGAGCTGTTTGGACGCGTCCTTCCCCCCCAAAATACTTCCCAAAACCTTGCACCCCACTTCCTGGACAAGGTTTGGTAAAAAGCCTCACCAATTTGCCTAGGTGACTACAGACCCAGACCCTTGGATCTTAAGAACAATGAACAATCCTCCCAACACTTGCACCCCCCCTTTCCTGGGAAATGTTGGATAAAAAGCCTCACCAATTTGCATAGGTGACCACAGACCCAAACCCTTGGATCTGAGAACAATGAAAAAGCATTCAGTTTCTTACAAGAAGACTTTTAATAAAAATAGAAGTAAATAGAAATGAAGAAATCCCCCCTGTAAAATCAGGATGGTAGATATCTTACAGGGTAATTAGATTCAAAAACATAGAGAACCCCTGTAGGCAAAACCTTAAGTTACAAAAAAGATACACAGACAGAAATAGTTATTCTATTCAGCACAATTCTTTTCTCAGCCATTTAAAGGAATCATAATCTAACACATACCTAGCTAGATTACTTACTAAAAGTTCTAAGACTCCATTCCTGGTCTATCCCCGACAAAGACTATAGACAGACACACAGACCCTTTGTTTCTCTCCCTCCTCCCAGCTTTTGAAAGTATCTTGTCTCCTCATTGGTCATTTTGGTCAGGTGCCAGCGAGGTTACCTTTAGCTTCTTAACCCTTTACAGGTGAAGGAGCTTTCCCCTGGCCAGGAGGGATTTCAAAGCGGTTTACCCTTCCCTTTATATTTATGACAAATGCCCTGCTTTTTGGTATCTTTATTCCTAGACGACCTGGTTTTCCCAGTCTTGAGTCCCACACTGTGTGAGTAATGCCACTGAAATAAAGATTGAATTACTAGTGCTAGTAGTAAAGTATCAAGGGGTAGCCATGTTAGTCTGTATCCACAAAAACAACAAGAAGTCTGGTGGTACCTTAAAGACTAACAGATTTAGTTGGGCATAAGTTTTCGTAGGTAAAACACCACTTCTTCAGATGCTAGTAGTGTCAATGCAATACGGTTACTGGAAATTTAACTGAGTTCTTTTTCTGCCCCATATAACTAGTTCTCTCTGCCTTTTGCAACAACAGAAAAAGATTCTGTAATCAGTTCTTAATTGACAATACAGCTTGATTTCAGATCCTAGGTTGAATTTGTAGTATTAGTGGGGAAAAAAAGATGTTTAAATTTTATATAGAAGTCACTGAGAAAAAATAACTATAGAATCCCACAATGTTCTGAGTCAGTTTTCTGACTAAATTGCAGGCTGAGATTGGTCATGTAAAATATGTAAGTATTTCAGTGTAAGTGCAAATCTGTTATATTGGACATAAAATATCTGATGTAATTAAATACATTCATGTAATAATTTCTGCTAACTTCTGTACCGCATTTCCTTTTTATCTTTGCTTAGGCTTATATGAAACTTGATTTCAACAAAACTGGCAGTGTACCTATGGTAGATATCAGAAAGTGTTATTGTGCCAAGAAACACTCTCGAGTGTTGTCAGGTAATTCATGTAAAAAGAAATATTTTAATTAGTTAACTGATCTTACTTGTTGGCAGAGATACAGTACCTGTGAATTGTTGCTGTTGTTATAAGCTGTGTTTCCTAGTGGCTTGGACTTGAGGTTGTTAATTAGAATTATTTTGTCCTCTGGTCAAAACACCTAGACAAACACCAGTTAGGAAAGCTCTAGTCACTACTTAGTCCTGCCTTGAATGCAGGGGAGTGGACTAGATAATCTATTGAGGTCCCTATCAGTCCTACACTTCTATGATCCTCTGGTCACCTGTAATTTGTCTGTCTTATTAGATCTGACCAGGGAATTATAGACCATCAGCCTAACTTCGATACCTGGATAGATACTGGACCAAATTGTTAAACAATCAGAGTATAAGCACCCACCAGGTAATAAGATTATAAGAATTAGCATGGATTTGGTAAAAAAAAATCATGCCAAACCAACCTAATTTCCTTCTTTGACAGGGTTATTGGCACAGGAGATGAGGAAGAAGTAGGCATGGTGTATCTTGATTTTAGTAAAGTTTTGATACAGTCCCACATGAATTCTTGTAAGCAAACTAGGGAAATGTGGTCTATATGAAATTACTGAAAGTAGGTGCACAACTAGTTGAAAGACCGTACTCAAAGAATAGTTATCAATGGTTTACTGTTGAACTGGGAAAGGTGTATCTAGTGGGATCCTGCAAGGGTCAGTCTTGGTTCCGAAACTATTTGATATTTCCGTTAATGACTTGGAGTGGAGCACGCTTATAAAGTTTGTGGATGACACTAAGCTGGGAGGTGTTGCAAGCACTTTGGAGAACAGAATTAGAATTCAAAATGACCTTGACAAATTGAAGAATTAGTCTGAAATCAGTAAGATGAAATTCAGTACATTTAAGAAGGGAAAAATCAAATGCACAACTACAAAATGGGGAATAACTGGTAGGTGGTAATACTGCTGAAAATGATCTAATGGTTATAGTGGATCATAAATTAAATGAGTCAAGAATGTGATGCAGTTGTGAAAAGGCTTATATATTCTGGGGTGTATTAACAGGAGTGTCCTATTGAGTTATGGGAGGTAATTGTCCTACTCTGCTTGGTACTAATGAGACCTCAATGGGAGTACTGTGTCCCGTTCTGAGCGTCACAATTTAAGAAAGATGTGGACACATTGGAGAGAGTTTGAAGCCACGATAGATCAAAATGCACTACGGATAGTGCAAAGCAGCAGGATCCACAGGGGCACTTGGTGCATGATAGGCTTGTGGGCAGTAGATTTATACCCTGGCTGCTGTGCACTGAATTGCCACAGAGACCAGCTCTAAACGTATCCAGGATTGAAGCTACCTTCTGAGTAAACAATTAATATTTTTCTGGGGTATGGAGTTCACTAATCCCTTTATAATTTGAAGTATTTTTACAGTGTGTAGCCCATTTTCTTTTCAGGGCTATAAAACAGAATTTACAAGGTTTAAATCTCATGTTGAAGAAAAAGGACTTTAAATCATAGAAGAAATCCAATTTCAAGAACACACTTCCATAGAACAAATTAATATTGGATTATTTTTATCAGTAATGTTTCCTAATTTCTTGAAATATTTTGTATAGTTTATAAGACTAGCATAGTCCATCTATCTCTAAATTGTATCTAAAAACTCAGAATAAACTCCAGTCCTCGCAAAAATCAGTGGGTTTTCTATTTGTTTTTTGTAAATAACTGAGTTGTTTCCAAAATGCATAAAGCCTGGAGCATTCCCATATATTAAAGTTATTCTGTTGCCCCCTGTCATAGCACTGTTGAGTAGAATCACTCAGTCCCCTTTATGAAAGAGACAGGAAATTTTCCAAGGGATTGCTTTAGGATTTCATAGAATAGAATACATTCAAGCCGCATGAAAAAAATGTTTCAACATTTGAGGAACTTCAAGCCTGTTACTTCCAAAAGAAGTGTTCAAACAACTGTGTTCAAATTATTTCATAGTTCTAAAAAACTGGATGTATTAAAAAGGGAACTATCTAATAGCAGTCGGGAAGTATACAGCATTGGTAAACTGTCCAGTTCAGATGTCCACACTTCAAGAAAGATTCTGGAGAGAGTTCAAAAGAGGGCCACAAAAATGACTTAAGGACTGGAAAACAAGCCTTACAATGAAAGGCTTAAGGAGCTCAACATATTTATCTTATTGAGAAGATTGAGAGGGTGAATTGATCACTGTGTATAAGATAGACTATATGATAGTGGGGGCTTTTCAACCTTGCTGACAAAGGCATAGCAAGATCCAGTGTTTGGAAGCTGAAGTTAAAAATTCAACCTTGAAATATGAGGCAGTTTACTAGCAGTGAGGGTATTTACACATTGGAAGAGCTTACTTGGGTGGAAGGGAGAGTGGTGGAATTCACCATTGCTTGGACTGTTTAAAACCAGTTTAGAGATCTTTCTAAAACTTATGCCTTAATCCAGCTTTTGGGACAAATTCTGTGGCCTGTGTATGCACAGTTTGGATGATCATGTGGGTGGTCCCTTCTGCCTCTGAAATCTGTGAATTTTCCTCTTTATCCACGTCCTTTATGGGCTGTGGGGAGAACAAGATTGCCTGCATTGCCCTCATCATGCTCATAACAGTGGCAGCTATGCACTAAGATAATAACTAATCAAATCTTATGCTTCAGGGCTTCAGCTGGTTGCCTGCAGGGGTTCGGAAGCAATGCTTTTCTCTGAAGCACAATTGGCCAGATGTATTCTGGGTTTTTTTTCACCTTCCTCTGAAGCAGTAGAGATTGGCCACAGCTGGAGATGGGACAGCAGATGTGGTGGAACAGTGCTCTGAAGTGATAGAAAGAATCCTCTTTCTTAAATGTCTGGCTGGTGTCTTGTTCACATGCTCAGGATGAAACTCCTAACCAGATTTGGAAGTAATTTTCTTCCAAGTCAGACTGGCAGTGACCTTGGGTTTGTTTTTTGTCTTCCTCTACCGCAGTGGTTCTCAAAGCCGGTCCGCCGCTTGTTCAGGGAAAGCCCCTGGCGGGCCGGACTGGTTTGTTTACCTGCTGTGTCTGCAGGTTCGGCCAATCATGGCTCCCACTGCCTGCGGGTCACCGCTCCAGGCCAATGGGGGCTGTGGGAAGCGGTGCAGGCCAAGGGACGTGGTGGTCGCCCTTCTCGCAGCCCCCATTGGCCTGAAGCGGCGACCCGCGGCCAGTGGGAGCCACGATCGGCCGAACCTGCAGGTAAACAAACCGGTCCGGCCAGCCAGGGGCTTTCCCTGAACAAGCGGTGGACCAGCTTTGAGAACCACTGCTTTACAGCAAGGGATGTGAATTGCCTAGTAGGGTCATCTAGGCCTGTCTCACCTAAGCAGTTCCTTTCCATTGCAGAAACCTTGGGTGGCTGCAGATTTCGGGATGGAAATAAATTTTTTTCTGCAGAAGCCTGTTGGTGGTTTCCCATGGGGAGGTTAGCAGGAACAGATCCTGCAAGGGGCTCTCCTAAGTTAGAAAGTGTCCTGGGGGAAAGTGAAGCATGCCAGAGTTTACAGTAATGGGGACAGATTCTGCACAATTTAGGGATCCAGGAGCCTGAAGTAGAGGGAGGGTCTGAGCCTCTCATATACATTCAGTTCGCCACCTGGTATGGCAGGTTGATACACCTAAAACTAAGAGGAAAAGAACCACTCTGAAACACCCGCTGGAAGAGAAAGTGAGCCCCGCGTGAAGGCTAAAGGAATAGCTAGCCCAAGGAAGGAGGTGGTATCTTTGGAGAGAGGACTATTACTTAAGTATAATTCTTAGTTTTTGAGATACACTTCAGTGGGCTGCTACCCATTTGCTCTCCTACAGAGTAATTTCTACTATTCAGCTTGCATACTGGAATATTTTTCCATTTAACATGATTTATTGTTGGAGTATTTTTCCTTCCTGCTCCTAAAAGGAACTAACCAAGGAAAGCTATGGGACAGTATTGGCATTGAACAGGTATCATGATAGATGTCTTATAAGATTCTCTAACTGCTAAGAACTCTGTAGTTAGGGGAATTACTGACTGGCCTCATGCTTAGACCAGGGACTCTCAGGGTGAAATCCTGGCTCCACTGAAATCATTGAAATTTCACTTCGGAGGTAGTAATCCATTCAGATTGTATCTTCAGAATTACAAATATGTTACTTCTTTTCTATGCTAAAAGTAATTTGGGATGTAATCTTGATCAAGAAGAAATCACTTTGTGTGTTATAATCCAAAAACTCATTTAGAATGCAAACTTTATTTCCTAAGCTGTTTCTAGAGCTCTGAATTTGTATTCACTAAAACACATTCACTTAATCACAAAGATTAACCTTTTAGTAATTTAGAAGTGTGCTACATACTGCATCATTCTGTTTTGGAGTCCTTTGAAGAAGCCTCTGATCTCACTCTCCATTTAAATCTGTTTGGGACTGATGTACTGAGGAGGTGGTGGTGGTGGTGATAAATGTAACGAGATGTCCTATATTATGAAGATGAGACGGTTCTAGTAGCCTAAATCAAGTGAAAACAAATCTCCACTATTCAGATTGCATTACCCATGTATAGTAAACTAAATTCTGGTTAAAAGTAAAGACAGCAGTCATTTCTTTGGACAAATACATTTTAAAATCAAAATTTTGTAGTTTGCTAAAGGAAAAAATCTTCACAGACACAATTTAAAAAGTTTTTTTTCTGTAACTATATCATATGCTTTATATTGAGTGTTCCTGAGAATGTGTTTAATGGCAAGTAATATTTCAACAGGTGATGCCACAGAGGAAGAAATTAAATCTTCATTTCTAGAAACACTAGAGGATGCCTGCAGCAATTCCGGTGAAGTGTCATATTGTGAGTTTGAAGATTACTATGAAGGATTAAGTATTGGAATCATGAATGATGAAGATTTTGTTAATATTTTAAGGAATGCTTGGGGAATTTAGAACTGAAGAATATATAGAATGTCAAAAAAAACCACCACTCCAAATGAGGAGTAAATTAAGTGAGGATTTATTTTTGATGCAAACTTTATTTCCTAAGCTGTTTCTAGAGCTCTGAATTTGTATGCACTAAAACACATTCACTTTTTTACTTTTTGAATGAATGTTTCAAATTTGTTTTAATAGTCTGAAAATATTTGAGAGTAAATTTTCAGAATGGTATATAAGTTATACATAAAGCTCCCTTTGAATATTTCTTTTATGTACATTTTGTGTTTTATTAAACTGTAAAATTTGTAATAGCTTTGTGCATTTCCATCTGGCAGCAGGATCACTTGTCTCATTAAAATACTGTAGTTTATTTTAAAAACAGTAATCTAGAATATAAACATAGGTGAAAGGATACATGCAAGAGAAAACTTACTATGCATCATAAATACCTGTTGTATTGTTGAGAAGCTTTAGATTTGACTATATATGTTATATATGAACACAGTGTTTTTTCTCTAAAATGTGTTGCTCATAAAAGAGGACGTTTGTTTTATGAAATGCGTAGGGCCAGATTCTGCTTGGCTCTTACGTTGATGAGAAGGATGCAAGTCATCCCTCTTATCTCCCCCGAGTTGGAGAGAGATGCACAATACCAAAAATGCATAGAAAATTAAGAACAGTGTATACCATCTTTTAATGTTCTAATTTTCAGAGCAAAATACAGCTTGTTTTGAATATATTTACTGATCTTCATCAGACATAGTAGATTGAACCACAGGTTCTCCAAAGATTTTAAAGAGATGCTTTTGACTAGAGTTTGGATATACTGTGCATATAGGTTGGAGAAATGTGTTCCAGGGCCTGTAATGTACTTCAGGCCTTACAACTTTTTGCTGAAATGTTTTTTCAAACAAATAATAATTTACTCTTTCTAGATTGTGACTTGCATACATTCTGCTGCTATGATCGTTATTTTTGGTGGAACCTTAATGGTAAACTCCTTCGTCCAAACTGATAGGTTAAAAAAAAGAAAAACCTTTCTAAGAAAGCAGCAATTACAACTAAAAAAATTAAATTTCTAGTCCACACCCCGCTCAAATTTTTCTTACTACTGTAAATATTTAATCAGTTGTGCCTTTTAATAAGATATGTTTTGTGAATCCTGAAAGATTCATTGTATTAAGAAATGGAAAATGCCTTACTGATTTTTTTCTAATTATATTTCATAATAGTCTTGGTGAAAGATATCTTTAACACTAGGGCCAGTTTGGAATCAGACTATATATGTTCAGTCTTGTGCTATTAAAATGTAGTTTGCTTTGTACTTGTCTGATTGCATTTTGATTTATGATCTGTCTTGTGTTCCGTGGACAGCACAAGTTTCTTCTGTCAGACAAAACTTGTTGCTCACAGGAATTTGAGGACAACCTTGAGATTTGTTGGACTTTGGTCAATCTCTTTGTCAGGCTGGTTTATTCTATCTATATAACCTTTTCCTTTGCCTATTTTTTAACTCATGCCCCCTTGCTGTCTGATTGTTAGTTTCTTGTAGCCCCTGCTCATTTTGAACCCTTGCTCATTTTTAACATCTCTTCCTGCTGTATTTACTATTTTTATGTTTAACTTTCGGTTTTTATATTTTTAATGTTCTGTTTCTGATTTTTGTTTATTGTAACCATTTCCTATTTAACCATGTCTTGTGTAGCTTATGTTTACCTCTTAACTCTTATGTAATTGTCCCTCACTCACTTTATTTCCCCTCCCTAATAAAGATGTCCCTTTTCCTTTCACATTACCCATTGTCATTCTGTGATAATTTACCCATCAATTCAGCTCCAAGTGAAGGTTTATCTCTGTTCTTTTGGTCCACCATAAACATGTATCCATGTCTGCTATTAAAGAAAGTTCCATGAATGCTTACCCTGATGTCATTCCTCTGGGGGTTGATAAAAGGTACACTTCTCCACTCCTGCTGGAATCTACCCTCCCTGGAGAGATTCTGTAGACTACCTGGGATGAAATTGTTGGTGCTGGGGAGAAGAGATGGACCTGGTTCCCCTGCTGGGTGTCATGTATATCTGTCCTAGAGGTTTTACAGGAAAGCACTTGTTTATGTGCTAAAAAACACATGCATCAAAATGCCATTTTTACTGATCTTTTAAACACATCATCTGTCCCATTAAACTCATTGACTTCATTGGAGTTAACAGCAGAGATGTGTTCAACCCACTGCTTGTGTATGGGTGCCAGTGATTTGGGAACTAAATATGGGTCTACAGCTTTGAGGTAGTAAACCCAAAATGTTCTTCCTGGTAAACAGCAAAATGCTAGAAGGAAATATGGAAATTTAATATCAGCTAGCTCATAGAAAGAAACTATTTCTCAGACCGTGATTCCTATTTACCTAATTTCACCAAATTGCTAAAACATGCTGGGCCAGCCTTTGCATGTAGATTACAAAATACATTGGCAAAATTGTCTTCTCACATTAAAAATATGGGGGAATATTTTGCAAGAAAATCTCCATGATGATGGCTTCTCTAGTCATCCTGTGCCCGCATGGGAAGGGCAGGAATAGCCCCCAGAAAGCTGCCCCCCTGCTTGATGAATTCGTGGCATGACAACTATCTGTACAGAAGCCCTATGGCTCATGTCCCTTGCAATTTATGTCTTTGCCTTGCTCTTGTTAGTGTCTGTTCTTTGTCACATAAATCTGACACTTTAAAGTTGAACATAAGTCTGTAGTTGTTTTGCTCACATTTTTGTTCTTTAGATCCTGAAGGTACATTCTCCTCGACCAAAAAGAAAAGGAGTACTTGTGGCACCTTAGAGACTAGCCAATGTATTTGATTTAATAGCCCATCCAAAGTGACAACTCTCTATTACCAGCAGGAGAGTGAATTTGTGTGTGGGGGGGTGGAGGGTGAGAAAACCTGGATTTGTGCTGGAAATGGCCCAACTTGATGATCACTTTAGATAAGCTATTACCAGCAGGACAGTGGGGTGGGAGGAGGTATTGTTTCATATTCTCTGTGTGTATATAAAGTCTGCTGCAGTTTCCACGGTATGCATCCGATGAAGTGAGCTGTAGCTCACGAAAGCTCATGCTCAAATAAATTGGTTAGTCTCTAAGGTGCCACAAGTACTCCTTTTCTTTTTGCGAATACAGACTAACACGGCTGTTACTCTGAAACCTGTCATTCTCCTCAACCGTCATCCACAATAAATACTAAGGGCTAGATTTTTAAAAAGTATTTAGGCACCTAGTAGAATTTTCAAAAGTGCCAAGGTGCTTGGGAGTTAGGTACTTTGGCACTTTTAAAAATCTCATTCGGTGCCTATTTGAATTTTTAGGCGCCTAAATACTTCTAAAATGTGGCTCCAAGACACTGGAGATTCACATCTCCAATCAAATGATTAAGTTCTGAGGCTGAAAGACTCAAGTGTCTAATGTTTCATGCTAATGTGGTGTTTTCCAAAAATTCTATTTTGTACAAAGCTGGTAGCCTCTATCCTTCAATTAAATGAGAGCTCCAACTTGTGAATCTTTTTGCCCTTTTTCTTTTTTTAGTCTCTTCTCAAATGTCCCAATGTTTTACTTGGGTGTATCCTGACTTCTTCCATTATTATTTACTTGAAAGGTAATGTGGTTAAACTGCATCTCTTGTTGCTACCAAAGTTTTGTACCATTAAAACTGCTTGGCGGTATACTTGTGAGAAATCTGGGATTCCCAATGTCTGCCTCAAAATACATTTCAAACATATCTAGTAGATCTATGTTTGATGTTCTTGGCATTGCCTAAATGTTCATAAATAGCCGGTGCCCTCAGTACTGGTATTCCCATTCAGTAAAGCTATTTAGCTGTATCTGTAAGGCAAGTTCTTTGCTGCAACACAGAGCTCAACAAAACAAATCATCTTCAAGGCTGCTCTAGCTTATGCTGATTGCTAAGGCCCTAGGAGCTGTTTATAGCTGAGGATATCCAGAGTGCAGTATGCTATAGATATGTCCTGTCCCTCTCCTTGCACTCACCACCAGGAGGATGGTGTAGAGATAAGTGAATGAATCTGTTTGACTCAAATGACTATTTCAATCGTGGTGACTCTGGCCACTTAATTGAATGAATGTGCATTGATGAGTATGTTTCCCTCTAGTCTAAGGGCTGCAGTGGTAATTGAAATCTTGTGTGGTATCTAATAAAAACCACACAAACACACACAATATCCTCTCCTCCACCTCTGTCATTAAATGGAATGGTGGCATCCTGAACCGGAAATGAGAGCTCTGATAATGAAACCTTAGGAAGCACCAGTGGGATAGCTGTATCAATCTGTCCGATGCACAGATATGAAATAGCCCTTGTAAGAATTGATGCCAGGGATTCCATGTCAAAGCTTGATCGTGTCCTGAATTCTTTTGGTAGTTCAGGTCCAGGCCTATTCTTTTGGGACAAGCAAAAATACATGTTTAAAAGAATTGTGCACCTTACACACACACACACACACACACACACACAAACACCCCCCCCCCCACCCCAGTCTAAAGGAGGGGCACAGGACTGATTACCATGGCATCATGTTTTAAGTTCCTGGGCAGAGGTGATAAACTTGGGGCTGAGGGGTTGTAGAAGAGGAGAGAACAGGACGCCAAATCCTCTCCCAAGTGTATCCCTTCTTGAAGAGCTCAGTATCCAGCGATCTTTCTTCCAGGAAAAAATAAAGCCTGCCCTCAGTCTTGTTAACATGAATGCAGACATGGGATTTTGTAGCTATGTGTTGGATTTTATGGAGGAGAAGGATTGGTTGGATTTTCTGATTCTATTTAAGTTCTTACCACAGTGACAGGCCTGGCATATCTGAATGTCCTGTTGTCAGCCTTTTTTTTTTTTTTTTTTCCCTCTGTCTCGGCCAGAGCCCCTACCCATGGTAGAGGATGAATCTCTTTCCCTGTCTTTGGCTATAGGCTTGAAAGGAAAGTCTTGGCTTGTACATTTTTTTTCCTGTCCTTTCTGAGGTGGAAAGGACTTGTTACTTAATCTAATGAAAGGACAAACTTTGTCCAAAGGCTCAACAAGGTTAGTACCCCCATCACCCATTTTGCAACTTTAGAGATTGAGAATTTGGAAAGCTGGTAGTTATCTCTGAGTGAGAGATTGAATTCACAGGAAATGATGTTGCTGTATCAAATGAGGCACCTGCCCTGAACAAAAAGGCCAGGAATGTTTTCCTCAGGACTAGTTTGATTTGTTTATCCCTTGAATTTTCCAGACCATTTGCTCAGGTGGTGACTGCTTCAGAAGAAAGTGTGGCAAAAAGGTGCCTACATGTGTGGAGTGGTTATAGAGTTCCTGGTCCTGCACACTGAGAGGACCAGGATATGTTGAGCAGGGAGCTTAATAAACATAGGAATTTTCTGGCTAGGGAGTTCTCTAGTGTCAGGGACCAGGGCATAGGCATTCTGGCCTAGTGATTACTGCTGGGCTGGCATCACAGAGTCAAGGGGCAGCCACGAGGGGGTGATTGGCAAGCAGGGATCAGAATAGTTGTGAGAGCCTACATCAATAGGTAAGAGTCAGCGTCAGCGTCCGTCCAGGATCATAGCCCAGAAGTAACTATCAGGCTGGAGTCAGAAACCAAAGATCTGAGAACAAGGCAAAACAAGATGAGATCTAGAGCTGCAGCAAGCCAGACGTCTGAGTGGTTGCCCAGATAACTTCCTTCAGTACTCTCCAGGGTTAAATAGTAAGCATGGGCCCATCATTCTGGTCCCTTTGGTGCCTAATTGCCACAGTGGTCCTTAGATGTGGCTCTTCATGGCCTCCTGGTGGTGATGTGAGTGCCTGCTGTCCCATGTGCCACAAACCCAGGTTCCAGTCCCCACATATCCACATATCTAGTTGCTGCTTAAGGCATGGCTCTTTATGTTTGTCTTCACACTATGTGGTGTCAAAAGTGAGTGTATCCTTTCTAAAGAAGGATGGAAGGAGGGGAAAAAAGAGCTCTCCAGTGTGGTGAGTAAGTAAGGAAAGTGGAAAATCAGGCGGAGACCTGTGAAAGCTGCAGCAGAAAGGTGGCAGAGCCCTGTCTCACTGCAGTAATGGAACCATAGCACAAATGGCTATGTTACAGAAGTTTAATTTTGGCACTTAGGAGCTGGCCTTGGTGGATCCATAAATTCGAGCGATTCTGGATTGCTTCTGCTTAAACAGAGAAAGCACAAAAATAGCAGGGAAATGTCCTCATATTTGCCATGGCTGATGCTGATATCCTGTACCCTACCTGTCACTGATGAGGAAAAGAAAGAATACTCCAAAGTGAAAGAGACTTTTGATGCCCATTTCAAAAGCAGACAATATTATATACGAAAGGGCCAAATTTAATAGGCAACACACAGGAACAAGGGGGAAATATCTGAGACTTTCATTACTGCAGTTCATAGTCTTAATAAACATTGCAAATAAGAATGTTAAAAGAAGAAATAAAGATACCAGCACCACTCCTGTCTGAGACACAAGTTTATCAGCACAGTTTTGGTTAGACCCAGATCTCACACTAGCAAAAGCTATAGCTGAAGTGAGAATGCAAGAAACCATAAAGGAACAGCAATCTGACTTACATGCTAGCAGCATAGGGAAGACTGCATCAGACAATATTGATACAGTAAAGAGAAAAGACACAAATATGAAAAGACCAGTGAGGCCAAATTTACAACATAAGAACAGTGTACAGAGAATGGGAGAGCAAAGAACCTTAATAGGAGAGAAAAGCTCTGGAAAATAGGGCAAGACACCACCACCACTGGCAACAATGCAAAAAGAGACCAGATGTAGAAGATGCCACAAAATGGGATATTTTGCAGCAGCATGCAGGTCACCAAGAGAAGTTGAAACAATCCAAGAGGGAGTGTTATCCTATGACAG